GTAGGTTGGCAGCCTGAGAAAACCCTAGTGGCCCGAAGGCTGAATGTCGTGGACCCCACGCTACATCACTCATGGCCCATGAACAAAACAGGATGTACTCACCTATGCTGCTCAAGGCCAGGGGGGACCACTTGGACAGAGGAGCTCACTGAAAGACACAGGGGAGAGTGGGGGCTCAGGAAGGAGCCTCTAACATGCCCTGTCACCGGAGACCTGGAGCCCAGATACCAAGTCAGCACAGGGAGCCTGGGCTGCCTCACAGAGGAGTGCAGAGACAGGGTTGAGTCCACCAGATGCCCTTCAGGGCATCAAGGTCTCCATCCCAAAATACATTTGCTCTGTCAGGGACCTCAGAATCCCACTGCCCTCTTCCAAAATTCTCACCTAGGCTGGGCCTCAGCGTAATCCTATTGAGCATGATTTTTAAGTCATCATCTCTCTTCAGAACAATATAAGGTTCTCATCACTGACCCAACCCAAGGCACCCTCCTGCCCCCAGCGCATGTATCCAGCAGGACCCAGATGGGCTTACCACAGCTCAGTGCAGGAGTCAAGGGCTCCAGGAAGGTCCTGAGCTTCAGCGCACTAGGGGCTGGGTGCCTGGCTGACTAACATTGGCCCAGGGATAGCAAGCCCAACACAAGTTTTCCTCCGGGGTCACCATCTGGGGAGACAGGAGGAAGACATCTGTTAAAACTGACCTCCATGTTGGAAAGGGGGTTGGGGGTGCCAGCTCACCCTTGCTCACCCTCCATGGACACATGTGGTGAGTTCAATGTGAAATACTGACTTGTTAAGTACGCGGTGCACTGTTGACCCTCCCTTCCACTGAACCCAGAGAGCACAGGGCAGGAAGTCACTGGGTTTCAGCAAACACCCAGGCTGCATCACACTGCAGGCCCTGAGAGCACTTCCACTGTCCCAAACGGCTCCCCTGCATGATCCCAGGGCTGTACTGGGACTGTTGGGCACAGACCCAGGCCACCAGCCAGGTCACGGCCAACCAAGGAGGCTGGCTCAGATGTCACACCCTGCTGCAAACCTGGTAGTTGCATAGCCTGCCGCTGGGCATGAAGGGCACGCATCCAGGCACCCTCTCCGAGTATGCAACAGAAATCACAGTCTGGTGCTGCAGGGCCATGTGCTTCCTCTGGTGGGTCCCCATCCATACTCTGCAAACTCCCACACATAGAGACAGCCACGTGGCCAATCAGGAGCCACATGGTGCCCTCTGCTTTGCTTGGGCCCAAGACCCTGCCACCCTGGATAGGACCCCAAAGTTTAGGAGAAGCTTGAGCAACAAATACCTGGGACACGTCCCTCGACAGCAGGCCTTCCCACCTCAGGAGACCACCTTTCCAGACACTTGACACTGGAAAAAGGGTGACCACCAATGGCAAGTGGGTTCCCCCTTGGCCCAATGCCCATGAGTCCCAAGGCTGACCTGCAGAAGCCACCAGGTGCTGGCCAGAGCTCTGCCTTGACCCAACCCCAGGGAAACAATGCCACCTCCCACCTCCACCAAGCTCTAGGAGACCCACTGGGATGGCCCATTGCTCAACAGGGACGGTCCTATTCAGGGCCATGGTGGTGCACGATCCTTTAATCTCCATGACCCAACCCAAGAGGCCCATTTGTGCATGACACACCAAATACTGAGAGCTCCTATGTGACCCCCGTGGTACCCAGAGCTCCTCTGTCCCCTTCATGTGGCCTGGGAAATCCTCGAGGTCTGACCCGAACATCGACTCTCAGCTATGAGCTGCCCCGCATTGGGCAGAAGGAACCCTTTCCTGCCTGGACCACCATCACACCTGCAGGGCTTCAGGGAAAGTGTCCCCCTTGGATCCGATTCCCAAAATAGTGGCCCTCCTGGAGAACCTACACCTCCCCAGTGGTAATTCAGGTCGGTTCCCTGAGAAAACCCTCGTGGCTGGAAGGGGGACCCTTGTGACCCCACGTGGCCTGGTTCATGGCCCATGACCCCAGCAGGATCCACTCACCTATGCCCGTCAATGCCAGGGAGCCCACCTGGGCAGAAGAGCTCACAGAAAGACACAGGGAGAACTGGAGCTGAGTAAAGAGCCACCAACGTTCCCTGGCCCAGGGAACTGGAGCACCAACACCAAACCCACAAAAGGAGCCTGGGCTGCCTCACAGAGGAGCACAGAGACAAGTTGGGCCACCTCCAGATGCCCATCAGAGCCTTGAGGTCTCCAGCCCAAAATACAGGGTCCCTGCAGCGGACTTTGGGATCCCAGTGTCCTCTTCCAAAATTCTCACCTAGGCTGGGCCTCAGCGTAATCCTATTGAGCATGATTTTTAAGTCATCACCTTTCTTCAGAACAATATAAGGTTCTCATCATTGACCCAACCCAAGTCACCCCACTCCCTGCACATGCATCAAGCAGGACCATGATATGCTCACCACAGCTCAGTGCAGGAGACCAGGGCACCAGGAAAGGCCTGAGCTTCACTGCACCGGGGGCTGGGAACCTGTCTGACAGACACTGGCCCAGGGTCATTGGGCCCAATGCAAGTCTTCCTCCGGGCTCACCATCTGAGAGTACAGGAGGAGGATATGTGTCCAAATAGGCCCTCACATCTCCATGTGGAGAAGGGGTAAGAGATACCCATGTAATGGGTTCCATGTGGAACACTGACCCATCACGGATGCAGGGCACCCTTGGCCCTTCCCTGCCCTGAAAAAACAGGGCAGTCTGCCTGCCCGGTGACCACTGGGCATGGGCCACAGCCACCAACCAGCTCCCAGCCCACCAAGGAGGGTAGCTCGGAAGCTACGCACCATTGCAAACCTGGCGGTCACATAGCCTGCCCTGGACGTGCTGAGGCACCCTCTCCAAGTGTGCACTGAAAATCACAGCCTGGGGACCTGGGCCACATGCTTTCACAGATGGGACCCCATCCACATCCCACACACCTCCCCAACAGACCTGGGCCACACCTGGCCAATCAAGGGCCACATGGTATCTTTTCCTTTCCTTGAGCCCAAGACCCCACGACCCTGGAGGTGACCACATGTCTCAGAAGAAGCCGGGGCGGCAAATTCCCAGTACAGGACCCCAGACAGTGGGCCTTCCCACCTCAGAATGCCACTGTTAACCATTACTCAAACTCGGAGAATGGGTTACCACCAGTGGAATGTGGGCTACCCACTTGGTGCAAAGCCCATGGGTCCCAGGGCTGGCCAGCAGCAGCACCAAGCGTCACACAGATCTCAGCATTGGCTCAACCCCATTGAAACTGCACCACACCCCACCAGGCTCAATACGTGCCACTGGGATAGCCTGTTGCTCAACAGTGTTGGCCCCATTCAGGGTCACCGGTGGGATGAGATCCTTGAACCTCTGTGGCCCGATCCGGTCACCACCCCCCAGGAACATGCCTGGGAACCAAGAGCTCCCATGTGATACCCATGGCACCCCAGAGCCCTTGTGGCCCCCCTCATGTGGCCTGGGCAGTCCTCAAGGCCTGACCCGCACATCAAGTCTCAACTGGGCGATGTCCTGCATGGGGCTGAAGGAACCCTTTGCTATCTGGACCATCGGTCACCCCTGCAGGGCTTCAGGGAAGGCATCCTCCTCGGGTAAGATTCCCAAGGAAGCTGCCCTCCTGGAGAAACCATCCCTCCCTGGTGGGAATTCAGGTCAGTTCCCTAAGGAAACCCTCGGGGCCTGAAGTCTGACCCCTGGCGAACCCATGTGGCCTGGCTCATGGCCCATGACACCAGCAGGATCCACTCACCTATGTTGGTCAATGCCAGGAGGCCCCCGCTTGGCAGAAGAGCTCACTGAAAGAAATAAGGGGAGATTGGGGGCTCAGGGAGGAGATACTGACGTGTCCCGTTGCTGGGGAACAGGAAGGCCAACACCAAGCCCGCACAGGGAGCCTGGGCTGCCTCATGGAGGAGCACAGAGAAAGAGTTGGGCCACCTCCAGATGCCCTTCAGGGCCTCCATCCAAACCAAAATACAGTGGCCCTGCTGGAAATCTCGGGATCCCAGCATCTTCTTCCAAAATTCTTACCTAGGTTGGGCCTCAGTGTAATCCTATTGAGCATGATTTTTAAGTCATCACCTCTCTTCAGGACAATATAAGCTTCTCATCATTGACCCAACCCAGAGAACCGCCTCCCTGCACAAACATCCAGTGGAAGCCGGATGTGCTCACCACATCTCAGTGCAGGAGACTAGGGCGCCAGGAAGAGCTGGAGCTTCAGTGCACCAGGGGCTGAGCACCTAGGTGACGGACACTGGCTCAGGAAAAGCAGGCCCAATGGACATCTTCCTCAATTCTCATCATCTGGGGGCACAGGTGAAGAACATGTGACCACCCTCCATGTGGAAAAGGGGGTGTTGGGTACCAGCTCATGCTTGCTTTCCCTCCATGGACACGTGTGATGAGATCCATGCAAAATACTGACTCATCACTGACGCAGGGCACCCTTGGCCCTCTGTGCCACCAAACCCAGGAAGGACAAGGCAGGCAGGTCACTGGGTTCAGGCAAAATGCCCAGATTGTGCTGTATTTCAGGCCTGGAGAGCACTTCCACTGCCCAAAACAGCTCCCCCATATGACGCCAGGGCTGCCCTGGGACCACTGGGCACAGGCCCGGGCCACCAGCCTGGTCATGGCCAACCAAGGAGGCTAGTCAATGCCAGGGTACTCACCTGGGTGGAAAAGTTCACTGAAAGACACAAGGGGAGAACAGGGGCTCGAGAAAGAGTCACCAACCTGTTCCATCTCTGGGGTACCAGAGCACCAGCACCAAGCCTGGACTGGGAGCCTGGGGACCTTCATGCAGGATCACAGAGGCAGGGTTGGGCTCCTACCAGATGCCCTTTCAGGGACTCCAGGTCTCCAGCCCAAAATATAGTGTGGCTCTGCCAAGGACCTCAGAATCCTATCGCCCTCTTCCAACATTCTCACCTAGGCTGGGCCTCAGCGTAATCCTATTGAGCATGATTTTTAAGTCATCACCTCTCTTCAGAAGAATATAAGGTTCTCATCACCAACCCAACTCAGGGCACCCCCCTCCCCACACATGCATCCAGCGGGACCCGGTTGTGCTCACCACAGCCCAGCGCAAGAGACCAGGGAACCAGGAAGGGTCGGAGTTTCGGTGCACTGGGAGCTGAGCACGTGGCTGATGGACACTGGCCCCGGGGCCTTCAGGCCCAACGCAAGTCTTTCTCCAGGGTCACCATCTGTAGGGAAAGGAGGAGGACATGTGTCCAACCAGGGCCTCATGTATCAATGCAGGAAAGGTGGTTAGGGGATACCCTTGTGATGGGATCCTTACAGAACACTGACCCAACACGGACATGGAGTGAACACCCTTGGCCCTCCCTGCCACCAAACCCTGGAAAGACAGGGCAAGCGGGTTACTGGGCTCAGGCGAGAGGTCTGGGCTGTGCCCTACTGCAGGCCCCAAGAGCACTTCCACTGCCCAGGCTAGATCCCCCGAGCAACCCCAGGGTCGCACTGGGACCAGGGCAACCAACCTGCTCAAGGTTGGTTGAGTCAAGGAGGCTGGTCCTGATGCCAAGAGCCACTACAGAGCCTGCCCCGGGCATGGTAGGGCCACCCTGGTGCCCACTCCAAGCATGCACCAGAAATCAAAGTCCGGGGGCCTCCAGGGCCACATGCTTTCTCTGATGAGCCCCATCCATGCCCTGCACACCTCCCACACACAGAGCCGGGCCACACTCAGCCAATCAGGAACCACGTGGTCCTCTCCTTTCTGTGGGCTAAAGACCCTGCCACCCTATAGGTGACTCCATGGCTCAGAAGCAGCCTAGGTGGCAAATTCCCAGGACTGGTCCCCTTGACAGCAGATCTTCCCACCTCAGGAGGCCACTCTTCCCACCACCGGACCTCAAGGAAGGGATTACCCCAGTGGGACAGGAGCTGCCCCCTGGGCCTAAAGCCCATGAGCCCCAGGACCGGCCCACAGCACCACCAGGCAACAGCTCAGTCTTGACCCAACTGCATTGAAACAGCACCGCCCCCAACAGGCTCAAGGAAGCGCCACTAAAATGGCCCATTGCTCAACAGGGTTGGTCCCATTCAGGGCCGTGGGTGGGGCGCATTCCTTGAATCTCCACAGCCTGACTGCGTGAGCCCTATCACCCACCCCTCTTGGGGAAAGAACTCCAGCATGACCCCCAGGGCACCTCAGAGCCCCTGTGGCCCCCATCATGTGGCCTGGGCAGTCCTTGAGGCCTGACCTGCCCACCGAGTTTCAGCTGGGAGCTGCTCTGTTGGGCTGAAGGAACCCTTTCCTGTCTGGACCACTGTCACCTCTGCAGGGCTTCAGGAAATGCGTGCTCCTAGGGTCAGATTCCCAAGGAAGCGATCCTCCTGGAGGAACCATCCCTCCCGGTGGGTATTCAGTTGGCTCCCTGAGAAAACCCTAGTTGGCCCAAAGGCTGACTCTCAATGACCCCATGCTGCCTCACTCATGGCCCATGACCCCAACAGGATGCACTGACCTAAGCCGCTCAAAGCCAGGGGCCTCACCTGGGCAGAAGACCGCACTGAAAGACACAGGGAAGAAGAAGGGCTCAGGAAGGGGCCACCAAATTGCCCTGTCCCCGGGGAAGTGGAGCATGGACACCAAGCCTTCAAGGAGAGCCTGGGTTGCCTCACGAAGGAGCACACAGACAGCGCTGGGCCCCCACAAGATGCCCTTCACGTTCTCAAGTTCTCTAGTGCAAAGTGAGTGTGGCCTTGGTAGAGATCTTGGGATCCCCGCATCGTCTTCCCTAATTCTTACCTATCCTGGGCTTCAGTGTAATCCTATTGAGCATGATTTTTAATTCATCACCTTTCTTCAGGACAATATAAGGTTCTCATCATCAGCCTAACCCAGGGCACACCCCTCCCCGCGCATGCTTCTAGCAGGACCCCGATGTGCTCACCCCGGCTCAGTGCAGGAGCTGAGCATGCCAGCAAAGGCCCAAGCTTCAGCACACTTGGAGCTGGGCACCTGGCTGACTGACATTGGCCCAAGAACAGTGGGCCCAATGCAAGTCTTTCTTCGGTCTCACCATCTGGGGGACAGCAGGATGGTATGTGTCCAAACTGACCTCCATGTGGGGAAGGCAGTAGGCAGTGGGAGCTCACATTTGCTCGCCCTCCATGGATACATGCGATGAGATCCATGTGAAGTACTGACTTGTCACCAACGCAGGGTACCCTTAGCCCTCCCTGCCACCAAACCCTGGAGGAACAGGGCAGGCAAGTCACTGGGCTCAGGCAAAATGCACGGGTTGTGCCATACTGCAGGCCCCGAATCCATCTCCACTGCCAAAGATGGCTCCCCACATGACCCCAGGGCCTCCCTGGCGCAAGTGGGCATGGGCCAGGGCCATGAGGCAGCTCATGGCCAACCAAGGTGGCTGGCCCAGATGCTACACACCGCTGCAGACCTGGCTATTGCATAGTCTGCCCCTGGGCGTGTTAGGCACGCATCAAGATGCCATCTCCAAGTGTGCATGGAAACCACAACGTAGAGCTGCAGGGTCACATGCTTTCTCTGGTGGGTCACCATCCTTGCTCTGCCCACCTCACACACACAGAGCTAGGCCACACTTGCCCAATCCGGAGCAACATGGTGCCCTCTCCTTTGCTTGTTCCCAAGACCCCATCACCCTGGAGGTGACGCCATGGCTTAGAAACAGCCTGAGCAGAAAATCCTAGGACAGTTTCCTCGACAGCAAGCTTTCCCACTTCAGGAGGCCACCCTTCACGACACTTGACCTTGGAGATAGGATGACCCCCGGGGGATGCAGGTTGTCCCTTGGCCAAAAGCCCATGAGTCCCAGGGCTGACCTGCAGCACTACCAGGTGCCAGCCAGAGCTCCACCTTAACCCACTCACAGGGAAACAACTCCGCCACCCATCAGCCTCCAGGAGACCCACTGAGATGGCCCATTGCTAAACAGGGACAGTCGCATTCAGGGCCATAGGTGGGGCACAATCCTTGAATCTCCACAACCCAACACCATGGGTCCATTCACGCACCACACTCTGGGGACCGAGAGCTCCCCATTATCCCCGTGGTGCCCCGTAGCCCCTCTGGCCCCCCTCATGTAGCCTGGGCAGTCCTCAAGACCCTACCACAGCACCAAGTCTCAACTGGGCACTGTCCTGCTTTGGGGAGAAGGAACCCTTTCCTGCCTGGACCACCATCACCCCTTCAGGGCTTCAGAGAAGGTGTCCTCCTTGGGTCTGATTCCAAAAAGGCTGCCTTCCAGGAGAACCCTTCTGTTTCAGGTGGAAATTCAGGTCTGCTCCCTGAGAAAACCCTTGTGGCCCAAAGGCTGATCCTCAGGGACCCCACATGGTCTGGATCATGATCCATAACACCAGCAGGATCCACTCACCTATGTCAGTCAATGCCAAGCGGCCCTCCTAGGTGAAAGAGCTCACTGAAAGACAAAGGCGAGAACAGGGACTCAGGAAGGAGCCACCAACATTCCCTGCCCCCAAGGAACGGGAGCACCGACACCAAGCCCACACAGGGAACCTAGAGCACAGAGATAGGTTGGACCACCTCCAGATGCCCTTCAGAGCCTCCAGGTCTCCAGTCCAAAATACACTGGCGCTGTTGGGGACCTTGGGATCCCAGTACCCTTTTCCAAAATTCTCCCCTAGGCTGGGCCTCAGCGTAATCCTATTGAGCATGATTTTTAAGTCATCACCTCTCTTCAGGACAATATAAGGTTCTCATCATTGACCCAACCCAGAGAACCCCCTCCCCACACAAACATCCAGTGGAACCCGGATGTGCTCACCACAGCGCAGGGCAGGAGACCAGGGCACCAGGAAGGGCTGGAGCTTCAGTGCACCGAGGGCTAAGCACCTGACTGATGGACACTGGCCCAGGAAAAGCAAGCCCAACAGAAGCCTCACCATCTGGGGGAACAGGTGGAGGACACTCCCTCCATGTGGAGAAGGGAGTGTTGGGTGCCAGCTCATGCTTGCTCCCCCTCCATGGACACATGTGACGAGATCCATGCAAAATACTGACTCATCACCTTCACAGGTGCCTCTCCCTGCCACCGAAGCCATGAAGGACGAGGCAGGTAGGTCACTGGGCTCAGGCAAAATGCCCAGGGTATGCGGGACTGCAGGACCTGAGAGCACTTCGCTAGCCAAAACGGCTCCTCCACATGACCCCAGGGCTGCCCTGGGACCACTGGGCACAGGTCCGGGCCACCAGCCAGGTCACAGCCAACCAAGGAGGCTGGCCCATCTGCCATGTGCCACTGCAGACCTGACAGTGGTATAGCCTGCCCCTGGGCATGCGGGGCATGCGTACAGGCACCCTCTCCATGCAGGCACCAGAAAAGAGAGCCTGGGGCCTCAGGGCCACTTGTTTTCTCTGGTGGGTCCCCATCCATACTCCACATACCTCCCAGACGCAGAGCCAGTCACACATAGCCAATCCGGAGACTCATGGTGCCCTCCCCTTTGCTTGGTCCCAAGACCCCGCCACCCTGGAGGTGATACTATGACTCCCATGCAGCCTGAGCAACAAATTCCCAGTACAAGTGCCTCAGTAGTGGGCCTTCCCAACTCAGGAGGCCACCTTTCACACTTGGGTGGCCCCCAGCGGGATGTGGGCTGCTCCTTGGCCCAAAGCCCATGAGTCCCAGGGCTGACCTACAGCACCACCAGGTGCCAGCCAGAGCCAACCTTGACCCAACCCCAGGGAAACAACCCACCCCCCACCAGGCTCCAGGAGACCCACTGGGATGGCCCGTTGCTCAACAGGGATGGTCACATTCAGGGCCATGGGTAGGGTGGGATCCTTGAATCTCTGCTACCCAACCCCATGGGCCCATTCACACACCATACTCCAGGGACCAAGAGCTCCCCTGTTACAACATGGCACCCCGTAGCTTCTCTGGTCCCCCTTATGTGGCCCTGTTCTCACCATTGACCCAACCTAGGGAACCCCCTCTCTGCACAAACAACCAGTGGAACCCAGATGTGCTCACTAGAGCACAGTGCAGGACAGCAGGGTGCCAGGAATGGTCAGAGTTTCAGCCCACTGGGGGCTGAGCACCTGGCTGACAGACACTGGCCCTCGGCCTGCGTGTCCAACACAAGTCTTCCTCCAGGCTCACCATCTGGAGAGACAGGAGGAGGACATGTGTCCAACCAGGGCCTCACACATCAATGCAGGGAAGGGGTTAAGTGAAACCCATGTGATGGGATCCATACTGAACACTGACCCAATACGGATACTGGGTACCCTTGGGCCTCCCTGTCATGAAACCTTGGAAAGACAGGACAAGCATGTCACCTGGCTTGGGCAAGGTGCCTGGGATGCACTCTACTACAGGCCCCAAGAGCACCTCCACTGCTCAGGCCGGCTCCCACGCATGACCCCAGGGCCATACTGGGGACACAGGGCACAGGACAGGGCCATCAACCAGCTCCTGGCCAACCTAGGTGGTTGGCCCAGATGCCAACAGCCACTGCAGATCTGGCTGTCCCAGAGCCAGCACTTGAGCGTGGTGGGCATGAGCCCTGGTGCCCTCTCCGAGCCTAGGGACCACATGCTTTCTCTGGTAGGTACCCATCCATGCCCTGCCCAACTCCGCCACACAGAGCCCAGTCACACTCAGGCAATCAGGAACCAGATGGTGTCATCTCCTTTCCTTGGACTCAAGACCTTTCCACCCTGAGGTGACCCATGCCCCCTTGACCCAAAGCCCCCAAGTGTCAGAGCCAGCCTGCAGCACCACCGGGTGCCAGCCAGAGCTCAGCCTTGACCCAAAATCACTGAAAGAGTGCTGTCCCCCACCAGGCTCAAGGAGGTGCCACTAAGATGGCCCATTACTCAGCAGGGTTGGGTCCCATTCAAGGCCATGGGTGTGGAGCATTCCTTGAACCTCCACAGCCTGACCGTGTGGACCCAGTCACTCACCCCACTCCAGGGAGAGAGAATTCCAGTGTGACCTCCAGGGTGCACTGCATCCCCTGTGCCCCACCGCCCCATGTGCCCTGGGTAGTACTCCAGGCCTGACCTGGCCACTGAGTTTCAGCTGGGAGCTGCCCTACATTGGGCTGAAGGAACCCCTTCCTGCCTGGACCACTGTCACCCCTGCAGGGCTTCAGGAAAGGCATGCTCCTTGGGTCAGATTCCAAAGGAAGCAGCCTTCCTGGAGAAACCATCCCTCCCTGGTGGGGAGTAGGTTGGCAGCCTGAGAAAACCCTAGTGGCCTGAAGGCTAAATGTCATGGACCCCATCTGCATCACTCATGGCCCATGAACAAAACAGGATGTACTCACCTATGCTGCTCAAGGCTGGGGGGGACCACTTGGACAGAGGAGCTTACTGAAAGACACAGGGGAGAGTGGGGGCTCAGGAAGGAGCCTCCAATGTGCCCTGCCCCCGGGAACCTGCAGCCCAGATACCAAGCCAGTGCAGGGAGCCTGGGCTGTCTCACGGAGGAGCGCAGAGACAGGGTTGGGCCCACCAGAAGCCATTCAGGGCCTCAAGGTCTCCATCCCAAAATACATTTGCTCTGTCAGGGACCTCAGAATCCCAGTGCCCTCTGCCAAAACTCTCACCTAGGCTGGGCCTCAGCGTAATCCTATTGAGCATGATTTTTAAGTCATCACCTCTCTTCAGGACTATTTAAGGTTCTCATCATCGACCCAACCCAGGGTACCCCCTCCTTGCGCATGCATCCAGCAGGACCCAGATGGGCTTACCACAGCTCAGTGCAGGAGCCAAGAGTACCAGGAAGGGCCCAAGCTTCAACACACTGGGGGCTGGGTACCTGGCTGACTGACATTGGCCCAGGGACAGCGGGCCCAACACAAGTTTCCCTCTGAGGTCACCATCTGGGGAGACAGGAGGAAGACTTGTGTCCAAACTGACCTCCATGTGGGGAAGGGGGTCAGGGGTGCCAGCTCACCCTTGCTCGCCCTCCATGGACACAAGTGATGAGTTCAATGTGAAATACAATGTTAAGTACGTGGTGCACTGTGAAGTACGTGGTCCTCCCTTCCACCGAACCCAAAAAGGAAAGGGCAGGTGGGTCACTGGGCTTGAGCAAAACACCTAGGCTGCACCATACTACAGGCCCCCAGAGCACTTCCACTGTTCAAAATGGCTCCCCTGCATGACCCCAGGGCTGCGCTGGGGCCACTGGGCACAGACCTGGGCCACCAGCCAGGTCACGGCCAACCAAGGAGGCTGGCCCAGATGTCACACCCTGCTGAAAACCTGGCAGTTGCAAAGCCTGCCGCTGGGCATGGCACGCTTGTCCAGGCACCCTCTCCAAGCATGCACCAGAAATCATAGCCTGGGGCTGCAGTGCCATGTGCTTTCTCTGGTGGGTCCTCATCCATACTCCACACACCTCCCATACATACAGACAGCCACACTTGGTCAATTGGGAGACACATGGTGCTCTCTCTTTTCCTTGGGCCCAAGACCCCGCCACCCTGGATGTGACCCCAAAGCTCAGAAGAAGCTTGAGCAACAAATTCCCGGGACACGGCCCTCAACAGCAGGCCTTTCCACCTCAGGAGGCCACACTTCCAGACACTTGACGTCAGAAAAAGGGTGACACCCCAATGGGATGCAGGTTCCCCCTTGGCCCAACGCCCATGAGTCCCAGTGCTGAGCTGCAGCACGACCAGGTGCCGGTCAGAACTCCACTTTCACCCAACCCCAGGGAAAAAACACCACCCCCTAACCAGGCTCCAGGAGACCCACTGGGATGGCCCATTGCTCAACAGGGACCGTCTCATTCAGGGCCATAGTGGGGTGAGATCCTTGAATCTCCATGACCAAACCCAAGAGGCCCATTTGTGCACCACATGCCAGGCACCGAGAACTCCCATGTGACCTCTGTGGCACCCCAGAGGCTCTCAGTCCCCCTCACGTGGCCTGGGCAATCCTTGAGGTCTGACCCAAGCACCGAGTCTCAGCTAGGATCTGCCCTGTGTGGGGCTGAAAAAAAGCCTTTCCTGCCTGGATCACCATCAACCCTGCAGGGCTTCAGGGAAGGTGTCCCCCTTGGGTCTGATTCCCCAAAACGCCACCCTCCTGGAGAACCTATGCCTCCCCGGTGGGAATTCAGGTTGGCTTCCTGAGAAAAAACCCTTATGGCCATAACACTGACCCTCGGGGACTCCTGTGGCCTGGCTCATGACCCATGACCCCAGCAGGATCCACTCACCTGTGCCAGTCAATGCCAGGTGGCCTGCCTGAGCAGAAGAGCTCACTGAAAGACACAGGGGAGAACAGGGACTCAGGGAGGAGCCACCAATGTTCCCCGGCCCAGGGAACCGGAGTGCCACAGCAAGCCCACAGAGGGAGCCTGGGCTGCCTCACAGAGGAGAGCAGAGACAGGTTGAGCCACCTCCAGATGCCCTTCAGAGCCTTGAAGTCTCCAGCCTAAAATACAAGGGCCCTCCCGGGGACTTTGGGATCCGAGTGTCCTCTTCCAAAATTATCACCTAGGTTGGGCCTCAGCGTAATCCTATTGAGCATGATTTTTAAGTCATCACCTCTCTTCAGAACATTGTAAGGTTCTCATCATTGACCCAACCTAGGACAACTCCTCCCCGCACTTGCATCGAGCAGGACCAGGATATGCTCACCACAGCTCAGTGCAGGAGACCAGGGCACCAGGAGAGGCCTGAGCTTCAGTGCACCTGGAACTGGGAACTAGTTGACAGACACTGGTCCAGGGCCATTGGGGCCAATGCAAGTCTTCCTCCAGGCTCACCATCTGGGGGGACAGGAGACGGACATGTGTCCAAATAGGGCCTCACATCTCCATGTGGAGAAGGGGGTAAGGGATATCCCTGTAATGGGTTCCATGTGGAACACTGACTGGTCATGGATGCAGGGCACCCTTGGCCTTCCCCATCACCAAACTCTGAAAAAACAGGGCAGGCTGGTCACTGGGTTCGGGCCAGACACCTGGGCTGCACCCTACTTCTGGTCGGGAGAACACCTCCACTGGCCCCGCCAGCTCCCTTGCATGATCCCAGGGTTGCCCTGTGACCACTGGGCATGGACCACAGCCACCAGTCCGCTCCTGGCCAACCAAGGAGCGTAGCCTGGAAGCTATGCACCATTGCAAACCTGGCAGTCACATAGCCTGCCTCTGGGTGTGGTGGGCACCCACTGAGGAGCCCTCCCCAAGTGTGCACTGAAAATCACAGCCTGGGGACCCGGGCCACGTGCTTTCACTGGTGGGACCCCATCCATAACCCACACACCTCCCAAACAGAGAGCCAGGCCACACTCGGCCAATCAAGGGCCACATGGTGTCTTCTCGTTTCCTTGGGCCCAAGATCCCGCGAACCTGGAGGTGACCCCATGGCTCAGAAGCCAGGGTGGCAAATTCCCAGTACAAGACCCTAGACAGTGGACCTTCCCACCTCAGAATGCCACTGTTACCGCCACTCAAACATGGAGAACAGGTGACCCCCATGGGATACAGGCTGCCCCCTCAGCCCAAAGCCCATGGGTCACAGGACTGGCCTGAAGCACCACCAGGAGCCAGCCAGATCTCAACCTTGACCAACCCCATTGAAACTGGACCACCCCTGACCAGGCCCAATATGTGCCACTGGGATGGCCCATTGTTCAACAGGATCGGCCCCATTCAGGGCCACAGGTGGGATGAGATCCTTGAACCTCTGTGGCCCGACCCAGTCACCACCCCCCAGGAACATGCCTGGGAACCAAGAGCTCCCATGTGATGCCCATGGCACCCCGGAGCCCTTCTGGTCCCCCTCATGTGACCTGGGCAGTCCTCAAGACCTGACCCACACACCAAGTCTCAACTGGGCAATGTCCTGCATGGGACTGAAGGAACCCTTTGCTATCTGGACCATCACCACCCTTGCAGGGCTTCAGGGAAGGCATCCTCCTTGGGTAAGATTCCCAGGGAAGCTGCCTTCCTGGAGAAACCATGCCTCCCTGGTGGGAATTAGGGTCAGCTCCCTGAGGAAACCCTCATGGCCCAAAGTCTGACCCTTAGCAACCCCAAGCAGCCTGGCTCATGGACCATGACACCAGCAGGACCCACTCACCTATGTTGATCAATGCCAGGAGGCCACCCCTTGGCAGAAGAATTCACTGAAAGACACAAGGGCAGAAGAACCAGGGCTCAGGGAGGAGCCACCCATGTGCCATGTCCCTGGGGAACAGAAGGGCCAACACCAAGCCCGCACAGGGAGCCTGGGCTGCCTCACAGAGGAGCGCAGAGACAGAGTTGGACCTCCTTCAGATACCCTTCAAGGCCTCCAGGGCTCCAGCCCAAAATACAGTGGCCCTGCCGGAAATCTCGGGATCCCAGCATCCTCTTCCAAATTTCTCACCTAGGTTGGGCCTCAGCGTAATCATTGAGCATGGTAATTTTAAGTCATCACCTCTCTTCAACACGATATAGGGTTCTCATCATTGACCCAACCCAGGGCACCCCCCTTCCTCACACATGCATCCAGCAGGACCCAGATATGCTCACCACAGGTCAGTGCAGGAGACCAGGGCACCAGGAAGGGCCTGAGCTTCAGCGAACCGGGGGCTGAGCACCTGGCTGATGGACGCTTGTCAGGGTCCATTGGTCCTGACGTACGTCTTCCTTCAGGCTCACCATCTGGATGGACAGGAGGAGGACATGTGTCTGAACAGGGCCTCACACCTCCAGGTGGGGAATTGGGTAAGGGATACCCATGCGATGGGATCCATGTGGAACACTGACCTGTCACAGATACAGGGCACCCTCGGCCCTTCCCATCATCAAACCCTGAAAAAACAGGGCAGGTGGATCACTGGGCTTGGGCAAGATCTCTGGTCTTCATGCTATTGCAGACCTTGAGGGCACCTCCAGTGCACCCTCTGGCTTCTCCTTTGCACCAGCCAGGTCTACCCCAGGACCACTGAGCATGGGACAAGGTCACCGACATGCTCACGGCCAACCGAGGAGGCTGGCCCAGAAGCCATCTGCTGCTGTGGGCATGGAAGTTGCATAGCCTGCCCCTGGGCGTGGTGGGCACCTGCCCAGGTGCTCTCTCCAAGTCACACCTGAAATCGCAGCCTGGAGTCCCAGGGCCATGTGCTTTCTCTGGTGGGTCCCCATCAATGCCCCCACACATGTCCCAAACACAGAGCCAAGCCACCCTTGGCCAATCCTGGGCCACATGGTGTCCTTTCCTTTCCTTAGGCCCAAGACCCTGCCTCTCTGGACATGACCCCATGGCACAGAAAAAGCCTGGGCAGCAAATTCCTGGGACAGGACCATCAACAGTGGGCCTTCCCACCACACATTCCACTCTTCCAGCCACTCACTCATGGGGAAGGGGTGACCTCCAGCAGGACACAGGCTGTCGACTTGGCCTAAAGCCCATGAGTCCCAGGTCTGGCCCACAGCCCCACCAGGCACTGGCCAGAGCTCAGCCCTGACCCAAAGCCAGGGAAATAGCACTGCCCCCCTCCAAGCTCAAAGAGGCGCCATGGGATGGTCCATAGCTCAACAGTCCCATTTTGAGCCATGGTTGGGGTGCAATCCTTGAATTTCCATGGCCCAACCCCATGGGCTCATTCAAGCACACCTGTCCAGGGAAAGAGAGCTCTTGCATGGCCCCTGTGGTGCCCCGGAGGCCCTGTGGCCCCCATCATGTGGCCTGGGCAGTCCTCGAGGCCAACACATGCACCGAGTCTTAGCTAAGAGCTCCTCTGCACGGGGATGAAGGACCTGCCTGGACCACTGCCATCCCTGCAGGGCTTCAGGAAAGCAACGTCTTGGGTACAATTCCCAAGGAAGCCGCCCTCCTGGAGAAACTGTCCCTCCCCAGTGGAAATACAGGTTGGCTCCCTGAGGAAACCCTCCTGTCCTAAAGACTGACCCTCAGTGACCCCATGTGGCCTGACTCATGGCCCATGACGGCAGCAGGATGCACTCACCTATGCTAGTCAAGGCCAAGGGCCCCTTCTGAGCTGAAGAGTTCACTGAAAGACACAAGGTGAGAATGAGGACTCAGGGAACAGCCACCAATGTGCCCTGCCCTCAGGAAACCGGTGCACTGACACCAAGTCCACACCGGGAGCCTGCTGTGCTTCATGGAGGAGTGCAGAGACAGGGCTGGGTCCCCATGAGAGGCCCTTGAGGGCCTCCAGGTCTCCAGCCCAAAATACAGTGACCCTGTCAGGGACCTCGTGATTCCCAGTGTCCACTTCCAAAATTGTCACCTAGGCTGGGCCTCAGCGTAATCCTATTGAGCATGATTTTTAAGTCATCACCTCTCTTCAGGACAATATAAGGTTCTCATCATTGACCCAACCCAATGCACCCCGCTCCCCATGCATACATCCAGAAGAACCTGGATGGGCTCACCAGCTCCATGAAGGAGACCAGGGCACCAGGAAGGGCCCAAGCTTCAGTGCAACAGGACCTGGGCACCTAGCTGATAGCCTCTGGCCCAGGCACAGCAGGCCGAATGCAAGTCTTCCTCCGGGCTTACCATCTGGGGAGACAACAGGAGGGCCCATGTGATGGGATTCATGTGAAATACTGACCTGTCATGGACATAAGGTACCCTTGGGCCTCCCTGCCACCTAACCCTGGAAGGACAGGGCAGGGAGGTCACTGGGCTCAGGCAAGATGCCTGGGCTGTGCCTACTGCACGCCTCAAGATAACCTCCACTGCCACTGCCCACACTGGCTGCTCCACATGACCTCAGGGCTGCACAGAGACCACTGGACACGGGATACGGCTACCAACCAGCTCACGGCCAACAAAGGAGGCTGGTCCTGACACCAGGCACTGCTGCAGACCTGGTAGTTGCATAGCCTGCCCTTGGGCATGGTGGGCGCCCCACCAGGTGCCCTCTCCAAGTGTGCATTGGAAATCGCAGCCTGGGGCCCCACAGGCCCATGCTTTCTTTGGTGGGTCCCCATCCATGCCTTACACACCTCCCAAACTCAGAGCCAGGCCATACTCGACCAATCGGGGGCTACATGGTATATTCTCTGCTCCTTGGGCCCAAGACCCCACCACCTGGGGGTGACACCATGGCTTAGAAGCAGCCTGGGCAGCAAACTCCTGGGACAGGTACCTCCACAGCAGGCCTTCCCACCTAAGGAGGCCACGCATCCTGACACTGGAACTCAGGAAAGATGTGACCCCCAGCAGAACTCGAGCTGCTGACCTGGCCCAAAGCCCACAAGTCCCTGGGCCAGCCTGCAGTACCATCAGCTGCTGGCCAGAGCTCAACCTTGACCCATCCCCACTGAAACAGTGACACACCCCCACCAGGTTCAGTGTTGAGCCACTGGGATGGCTCATTGCTCAACAGCATCAGTCTCATTCAGGGCCATGGGTGGGCGCGATGCTTGAAACACTGTGGCCTGACGCTGTGGGCCTGCTCACTCAGTCACCACCCCCACCACAAGCCTGAAGACTGAGAGCTCCTGCATGACCCCTGTGGTGCCTCACAGCCTGTGTGGCACCCCGCATGTGGCCTGGGCAGTTCTCGAGGCCTGACCCATGCACAGAATCTCATCTGGGAGCTGTCTGCCCCGCAGGAGCTGTAAAAACCCTTTGGGGCTTGAAACATCATCACTTCTGCAGGTTTTCAGAGAAAATGTCCTCCATGGGTCTGATTAGAAAGAAAGTGGCCCTCTGGGAGAACCCATCCCTCCCCAGTGGGGATTCCCCCACTCCCTGAGGAAACCCTCCTGTCCTGAAGGCTGACCTGGCGTCCCCATGCAGCCTGGCTCATGGCCTATGACACCAGCAGGTTCCACTCGCCTATGCTGGTCAACGCCAGGGGGCCACCTGGGCAGAAGATGTCACTGAAAGACACAAGGGAGAAGGGGGACTCAGGGAGGAGCCGCCAACCTGCCCTGCCCCTGGGGAATGGGACTCTGACACCAAACTCCGTGAGCCTGGGCTGCCTCATGGAGGAGTGCAGAGACAGGGCTGGGGGCCGCCAAGATGCCCTTCAGGACCTTGAGGTCTCCAACCCAAAATACAGTGGCCCTGCCAGGGACCTCAGGATCCCAGTGTCCTCTTCCAAAATTCTCCCCTAGGTTGGGCCTCAGCGTAATCCTATTGAGCATGATTTTTAAGTCATCACCTCTCTTCAGACAATATAAGGTTCTCATCATCGACCCAACCGAGGGCACCCCCCTCCCGTGCATGCATCCAGTGGGACCCAGACAGGCTCACCACAGCTCAGGGCAGGAGACTAGGGCTCCAGGAAGGGCCTGAGCTTCAGCACATCAGGAGCTGGGCACCTGGCTGACAGACACTGGCCTGGGTCCATTGGGCCCAATGCAAGTCTTCCTCTGAGCTCACTATCTAGGACAGGGGGAGGACACGTGTCCAGATAGGGCCTCATGCCTCCAAGTGGGGAAGGTGGGTAGGGGATATCCATGTGATAGGATCCGTGCAGGGCACTGATGCATCACAAAGACGGACACAGACCACCCTTGGCCCTCCTAACCACCCAACCCCGGAAGGACAAGGTAGGTGGGTCACTGGTCTCATGCAAAAAGCCCAGGCTGCACCCTACTGCAGGTCCTGAGAGCACCTCCACTGACCTGCTGGCTGCCCTGCACAATGCCAGGTCTGCCCTGAGACCACTGGGCACAGGCCAGGGCCACCAACCAGCACATGGCCAACCAGGAGGCTGGCCTGGATGCCACACACTGCTGCAGACTTGGCAGTCGAGAGCCTGCCCCTGCCCCTCTCCAAGCACACACTGGAAATCACAGCCTGGGGCTCCAGGGCTATGTACTTTCTCTGATGGGTCCCCATCCATGCCCTGCACGCCTCCCAAACACAGAGTCGGGCCACACTCAACCAATCCAGGGACACATGGTGTGCTCCCCTTTCCTTGGGCCCAAGAGGCTGCCACCCTGGAGGTGACCCCATGGCTCTGAAGCAGCCTGGGTGGCAAATTCCCAGGACAGGTTGCTCAACAGTGGGACTTCCCACCTTAGGAAGGCACCACTCCCGCCATTCAATCTCTGGGAAGGGGTGACCCCAAGCATGACCCAAGCTGTCCCCATGGTCCAAAGCCCATGAGTTCCAGGGCCAGCCTGCAGCACCACAGGTACTGGCCAGAGCTCAGCCTTGACCTAGCCCCAGGGAAACAGCACCACCCACCACCAGACTCAAGGAGGCGCCATTGGGATGGTCCATTGCTCAACAGGGTCAGTCTCATTCAGGGTCATGGGTGTCCTTGAAACTGCATGGCATGATTCTCATGGACCCGATTGCCTACCCCTCTCCCCAGAACCCCCGTAGTGCCCCAGAGCCTCTGTAGCCACCTCATGTGTCCTGGGCAGTCCTTGAGGCCTGACTGATGCACCGAGTCTCAGATGGGAGTTGTCCTGCATGGGGTTGAATGAACTCTTTCCTGCCTGGACCACCATCACCCCTGCTGGGCTTCAGGATAGGCATCCTTCTTGGGTACGATTCCCAAGGAAGTGGCCCTTCTGGAGAACTCATCCCCAGTGGGAATTCAGGTCCACCCTTTTAGGAAATTCTCGTGACCCGAAGGCAGATGCATGGTGACCCCACTCTGCCTCGCTCATGACCCATGACCCAAGCAGGATCCACTCACCTATGCCAGTCAATGCCAGGGGGCCCGCCTGGGCAGAAGAGCTCACTGAAAGACACAGGGGAGAACGGGGGCTCAGGAAGGAGCCACCCACATGCCCCGTCCAGGAACCAGAGCACCAACACCAAGCCCACACAGGGAGCCAGGGCTGCCTCATGGAGGAGCGCAGAGACAGGGTTGGATCCCCTCAAGATGCCCTTCAGGGCCTTGAGGTCTCTAGTCCAAAATACGGTAGCCCTGCCTGTGACCTTGGGATCCCAGCATCCTCTTCTAAAATTCTCACCTATGCTGGGCCTCAGCGTAATCCTATTGAGCATGATTTTTAAGTCATCACCTCTCTTCAGGACAATATAAGGTTCTCATTATTGACCCAACCCAGGGCACCCCCCTCCCCACTCATGCATCCAGCAGGACCCGGATGGGCTCACCACAGCTCAGTGCAGGAGACCAGGGCACCAGGAAGGTCCTGAGCTTTAGCACACCAGGAGCTGGGGATCTGGCTGACGGAGGCTGGCTCAGAGCCAGGGGGTCTTCCTCTGGGCTCACCATCTGGTGAGATAGGTGGAGGGTGGGTCCACAGGGCCTCACCCTGCCACGTGGGGAAAAGAGCGGGCAGTGCTGGCTCACACATGCTCTCCTTCCATGTACCCATGTGATGGAATCCATGCGGAACACTGACCCACCTCCACTGACCAGTAGAAGGGAGGACATGGGGCCCTCCCTGCTACTGAACCCTGGAAGGACAGGGCAGGAGGTTCACTGAACTCAAGCAAGAACACCTGGGCTGTGCCCTACTGCAGGCCCTAAGAGCACCTCCACTGCCCATGCCGGCTCCCTGAACAACCCCAGGGCTGCACCAGGACCCCTCGGCACAGGCCAGGGCTATCAACCAGCTCATAAGCAATCAAGGAAGCTAGCCCGGATGCCACGAACTGCTGCAGACCTGGCAGTCACATAGCCTGCACTGGGGCATGGAGAGTGCCCCCTCAGACACCCTCTATAAGCGTGCTAGAAATTGCTTCCCGGGGCCTCAGGGCCATGTGCCTTCTCTGGTGGGTCCCCATGCATGCACCACATACCCCCCAAACATTCTCCCCACTCTCGGCCATTCAGGGGACACATGATGTCCTCTCCTTTCCTTGGGCTCAAGATCTCGCCTCCCTGGAGGTAAACCCATGGCTCAGAAGCAACCTGGACAGCAATTTGCTGGGTCAGGACCCTCAACAGTGGGCCTTCCACCACAGGATGCCTGCCACTCTTCCGGCCACTCCACCTCTGGGTAGGATGGCCTCCAGCAGCAGGCAGGCTGCACCCTTGGCCCAAAGCCCACAATTCCCAGGGCCAACCACCAGGTGCAGGCCAGAGCTCAGCCTTGACCCAACCCCATTGAAGCCACACTGCCCACACCAGACTTAAGGAAGCACCACTAGGATAACCCATTGCTCAACAGGGTTGGTCCCATCAGGGCCATGGGTGGGGCCTGACCCTTGAATCTTCACAGCCTGACTCCATAAACTCGATCACCCACACCGTGCCACCGTCCCACCGCCCCCAGCAAGCCTCAAGGATGGAGAGTTCCTGCTTAACACGTGTGGCCTCCGGAGATCCTATGGATTCCCTCATGTTGCCTGGGAGTCCTCAAGCCCTGACCCGTGCACTGAGTCTCAGCTAGGAGCTGCACTGCGTTGGTTTGAAGGAACCCTTTCCTGCCTGGACCACTGTCACCCCTGCACGGCTTCAGGGAAGGAGTCCTTCTTGGGACCAGTTTCAATGGAAGATGCCCTCCTGGAGAAACCAGCCCTCTCCAGTGGGAATTCAGGTCAGCTCCCTAAGGAAACCTACAGTCTAAAGGGTGACCTTTGGCAACCCTACGCACCTTGGCTCATGGACCATGATGCCAGCAGGACGTACTCACCTATGCCCCTCAAGGCCAGGGGGACCACCTGGGCAGAAGAGCTCACTGAAAGACACAGGGGAGAACAGGTACTCAGGGAGAAGCCGCCAATATGCCCCATTCACGGGGAGCGGGAGGGCCGACACCAAGCCTGCACAGGGAAAGTGGGTTGCCTCATGGACAGGCGCAGAGACAGATTTGGGCACCCCTGAGATGCCCAGGGCCTCAGTGACTCCAGCCCAAAATACAGTGGCCTGGCTGGGGATCTCGGGATCCCACCATACTCTTCCAAAATTCTCACCTAGGCTGGGCCTCAGCGTAATCCTATTGAGCATGATTTTTAAGTCATCACCTCTCTTCAGGACGATATAAGGTTCTCATCATCGACCCAACCCAGGGCACCCCCCTCCCCACACATGCATACAGCAGGACCTGGATGGGCTCACCAAGCTCAGTGCAGGAGACCGGAGCAGCAGGAAGGGCCTGAGCTTCAACACACCAAGGGCTGTACACCTGGCTGAAAGACACTGACGTGGGGCCAGTGGTCCCAATACAAGTCCTCCTCCAGGGCCACCATCTGGGGGGACAGGAGGACATATGTCCAACCAGGGGCTCATGCCTCCATGCAAGGAAGAGGGTGGAGGGGTGCCAGTTCATGCATGCTCTCCCTCCGTGGACCCATTTGATGGGATCCATGGGAAACACTGATGTGTCACAGACACAGAGGACTCTTGGCCCTCCCTGCCAGGGAACCCTGTGAGGACATGGCAGGCAGGTCACTGGGCTCGGGCAAGACACCCAGGCTGCACCCTACTGCAGGCCACCAGAGCACCTCCACTGCCCACACTGGCTGTCCCACATGACCCCAGGGCTGCACCCAAACCCTGGGAAAGGACCAGGGCCACCAACAGCTCATGGCCAACCAAATAGACTGGCTCAGATGCCACATGCCGCTGCCAACTGGACAGTTGCACAGCCTGCCCCTGGGAATGGAGGGGGTCCAGGACCGTCTCCAAGCATGCACTGAGAAATTGCAGCCTTGGGCCTGAGGGCCACATGTTTTCTCTGGTGGGTCCTTATCCATGCCCCATACAATACCTCCCACATGCAGAGCAGGGCCACACTCGGCCAGTTGAGGGAAACATGGTGTCCTCTCCTTTCCTTGGGCCCAAGACCCTGCCAACCCTGGAGGCAACCCCATGGCTCAGAAGCAGACTGGATGACAAATTTCCAGGACAGTTCCTTCCACAGCTGGCCTTCCCACCTCAGGAGGATACCCTTCCTGCCACTCGCCCACAAGGAAGGGGTGAATCCCCAGCGGGACACAGGCTGCACCCTGGGCCCAGTGCCCATGAATTTCAGGGCTGGACTGCACCACCAACAGGCAATGGACAGAGCCAGTATTGACCCAACCTCAGGAAAACAGCGCCACCCCATACTTGTTTCAAAGAGGCACCCCTGGGATGCCCCATTGCTTAACAGGGTCGGTTCCCTTCAGGGCCATGGGTGTGGTGTGATCCTTGAATCTGGGGCCCGACCCCATGGGCCGAATTGCATACCACACTCCGGGTTCGGAGAGACCCTGCGAGGCCCCTGTGGTGCCCTGGAGCCCTTGTGACACCCCTCAAGGGGCCAGGCCATCCTAGGGGCCTAACCCAAGCACTGAGTCTCAGCTGGGCGCTGCCCCACGTGGGGCTGAGGGAACCCTTTCTTGCCTAGACAACTGTCACCCCGCAGGGCTTCAGAGAAGGCATCCTACTTGGGTCAGATTCACAAGGAAGCTGCCCTCTGGGAGAACCCATCCCAGGTGGGGATTCAGGTCGGCTCCTGAGGAAACCCTCATAGCTCAAATGCTGACCCTCGGCAATCCTATGGCCTGGCTCATGGCCCATGACCCAAGCAGGAACCACTCACCTATGCTGGTCAATGCCAGGGAGTCTGCTGGGTGAAAGAGTTCACTGAAAGACACAGGGGAGAACAGGGGCTCAGGAAGGAGCAGCCAAAATGTCCCGCCTCCAGGAAAGCAGAGCGCTGACACCAAGCCCACACAGGGAGCTTGGGCTGCCTCATGGGGGAGAGAAGACAGAGTTGGGCCCCCAATAAGGTGCCCTTCAGGGCTTCCAGGTCTCCAGCCCAAAATACAGTGGCCCTGCCAGGGACCTCATTGATTCCCAGTGTCCGCTTCCAAAATTGTCACCTAGGCTGGGCCTCAGCGTAATCCTATTGAGCATGATTTTTAAGTCATCACCTTTCTTCAGGACAATATAAGGTTCTCATCATTGACCCAACCCAGGGCACATTCCTCCCCACACATGCATCCAGTGGGACCTGGATGTTCTCACCATAGCTCAGTGCAGGAGACCAGGGCACCAGGAAGGGCATGAGTTTCAGCACACTGGGGTCTGGCATCTGGCTGATGGACACTGGCTTGGGGCCAGGGGACCCAGGAAGAGTCTTCCTCTAGGTTCACTATCTGCAGGGACGGGGGTCAGGTGTCCAAACAGGGCCTCACATCTCCATGTGGGAAAGGGAGCCAGAGGTGCCTGCTCACACATGCTGTCCCTCCATGGACCCATGTGATGGGATCCATGTGAAACACTGACGGTAATGGACCCAGGGAACCCTTGGCTGTCCCCGCCACTGAACCCTAGAAGCCTGACCCCATGGGCCCAATTGCCCACCTCTCTCCGGGGATGGAGAGCCCCCCGCACAATCCCCATGGCACTCTGGAGCCCCTGTTGTCCTGCTCATGTGGCCTGGGCAGTCCTCAACGTCAGACCTCATGTCAGCAGGGAGCTGCCCCGCATGAGATTGAAGGAACCCTTTCCAGCCTGGACCACCATTACCCCTGCAGGGCTTCAGCAAAGGTGTCCTCCTGGTGTCAGATCCCCCAGGAAGCCACTGTTCTGGAGGACCAACCCATCCCTCCATGGTGGGGATTCAGGTCGGCTCCCTGAGGAAACCCTCCTGTCCCAAAGGCTGACCCTCAGTGACCCCATGTGTCTGCCTCATGGCCCATGAACCCAGCAGGATCCACTCACCTATGCTGGTCAATGCCAGGGGAACCATCTGAGCAGAAGAGCTCACTGAAAGAATCAAGGGGAGAATAGGGTTCACGAAGGAGCCACCAACCTGACCCGCCCCCAGAAAACCAGAGTGCCAACACCAAGCCCGCACAGAGATCCTGGGCTGCCTCACAGAGGAGTATAGGGACAGGGTTGGGCACCCCCCAGATAGCCTTCAGGGCCTCCAGGTCTCCAGCCAAAAATACAGTGGCCTGGCTGGGGACCTTGGGAGCTCAGTATCCTCTTCCAAAATTCTAACCTAGGCCGGGCCTCAGCATAATCCTTTTGAGCATGATTTTTAAGTCATTATCTCTCTTCAGGACAATATAAGGTTCTCATCATCGACCTAACCCAGGGCACTTCCCTCCTCACCGCTGCATCCAGCAGTACCCGAATGGGCTCGCCAAGCTCAGTGCAGGAGACTAGGGTACCAGGAAGGGCCTGAGCTTCAGTACACCAGGGACTGGACACCGGGCTGATGGACACTGGCCCAGGGCCATTGGGCCCAAAACAATTCTTCCTCTGGGGTCACGATCTGGGAGAACAAGAGTAGGACAGTTGTCCAAACACAACCTCACTCCTCCATGTGAGCAGAAAGTGGGGTGTGGCAGTTCAAGCATACTCGCCCTCCATGGATCCCTGTGATGGGATGCATGAGGAACACTGGCCCATCACGGACACAGGACACCCAGTGCTCTTAGCCACAGAACCCTGGAAGGACAGGGCAGGTGGGTCACTGGGACCCTACCGGCTCCCCCACACAACCCCAGGGTCACACCAGGACTACTAGGCACAGGCCAGGGCCACCAACCAGTTCACGGCAAACCAAGGAGGCTGGCCTGGATGTCAGATGCCACTGCAGACCTGGCAGTCACATAGCCTATCCCTGTGCATGGTGGGCACCCACCCAGATGCCCTTTCCCAGCACATACTGAAAATAGCAACCTGGGGTCCCAGGGCCACATGTTTTCTCTGGTGGGTCTGCATCCATGCCCCACACACCTGAACACAGAGCAGGGCTACAGTCAGCTAATCAGGGGACACACAGCATCTTCTCCTGTCCTTGGGTCCAACATCCGCAACCCTGGAGGTGACCCCATGACTCAGAAGCAGCATAGGCCGCATATTCCAAGGACAAGACCTTCGACAGCAGGCCTTCCAACCTCGAGGCAACCATTCCTGACACTTGCCCATTGGGAAGGGATGACTTCCAGCCATGGGGAATGGGGGACCTCGAGGGGGAGCAGGCTGACCCCTTGACTCAAAGCTGAAGAGTCCATGGCCAGACCTCAGCACCACCAGGGGCTGACCAGAGCTCAGTCTTGACCCAAACCTAGGGAAACAGCACCACCCTGCTCAAGGCTCAACGAGGCCCATGGAATGGCTCATGACTCAACAGGGTCTGTCCCATTCATGGCCATGCATTGGGCACAATCCTTAAATCTCTACAGCTTGACTCCATGGGCCCTATTACCCACCTTTCTCCATGAATGGAGAGCTCCTGTGTGACCCCCATGGCGTCCCAGAGGCCCTATTGGCCCCTCAGGTGGCCTGGGCAGTCCTTGAGGCCAGACTCAAACACCTAGACTCATCTGGGAGCTACTATGTGTAAGACTGAAGGAACCCTGTCCTGCCTGGACCACCGTCATCCCTGCAGGGCTCCAGGGAAGGCATCCCCCTTGGGTCCGATTTCCCAGGAAGCCACCCTCTTGGTGGACCAACCCAACCCTCCCCGGTGCGGATTCAGGTTCGCTCCCTGAGGAAACCCTCCTGTCCCAAAGGCTGACCCTCAATGACTCCACATGGCCTGGCCCATGGTCCATGATGGCAGCAGGATCCACTCACCTATGCCGGTAAATGCCAGGGTGCCCTGCCTGGGTTGAAGACTTCACCGAAAGACACAAGTGGAGAAGTGGGGCTCAAGGAGGAGCTTCCACGTGCCCCACCCCAGGGAACTGGACCACCAACAGCAAGCCCGCACAGGGAGCCTGGGCTGCCTCACGGAGGAGTGCAGAGACAGGGCTGGGCCCCCCAGATGCCCTTCAGGGCCTCCAGGGCTCCAGCCCAAAACTAATAAATAAAGTCCCCTACCGGGGACTTCGGGATCCCAGCATCCTCTTCCAAATTCTCATCTAGGGTGAGCCTCAGCGTAATCCTATTGAGCATGAATTTTAAGTCATCACCTCTCTTCAGGATAATATAAGGTTCTCATCATCGACCCAAACCAGGGCACCCCCCTCCCCATGCATGCATCCAGCGGGACCCAGATGTGCTTACCACAGCTCAGTGGGGACGACAGGTAGGTCCCAAGCTTCAGCACACCAGGGTGGGCACCTGGCTGATGGCCACTGGTCTGGGTCCATTGGGCCCAAGGCAAGTTTTCCTCCAGGCTCACCATCTGGGGGGACAGGAAGAGGACATGTGTCCAAACAAGGCCTCATCCTTTCATGTGGGAAAGGGGTAAGGTATACCCATGTGATGGGGTCCATGAGAAACACTGACCTATCATGGACATGGGGAGCCCTTGGCCCTCCCCATCACCAAACCCTGAGAAAACAGGGTAGGTAGGTCTGGGCTCAGGCAAGATGCCCAGACTGCACCCTACTGATGGCCTTGATAGCACCTCCACTGCCCAAGCTGTCTGCCCCACACAATACCAGAGCCACTCCGGGAACACAGGGCACAGGGAACCAACCAGCTCATGGCCAGCCAAGGAGAATGGCCCAGAAGCTATGTACCACTGTGGACGTGGAAGATGCATAGCCTGCCCCAGGGTGTGGTGGGCACTTGCCTAGGTGCTATTTGCAAGCCACACCCGAAATCAAAGCCTGGAGTCCCAGGGCCACATGCTTTCTCTGGCGGGTCCCCATCCATGTCCCGCAAATGTCCTAAACACAGAGTCAGGCCACCCTTGGGCAACCATGGGCTACATAGTGTCCTCTCTTTCCTTAGCCCCAAGACCCCACCACCCTGGAGGTGACCCCATGGCTCAGAAGAGGCCTGGATAGCAAATTCCCAGGACAGGACCATCGACAGTGGGTCTTCTGACCTCAGGATCCACTCTTCCAGCCACTCACCAACCAGCAAGGGGTGATCTCTAGCAGGACCAGGCTGCCAAATGGACCAAAGCCCAGAAGAACCTGGGCCGGCCTGCAGCATCACCAGGTGCTGGCCAGAGCTCAGCCTTGACCCAAACCCAGGGAAACAGTACCGCCATGTACCAGGCTTAAAGAGGCACTATTGAGATGGCCCACTACTCAACATGGTCGGTCTCAGTTAGGGCCACGGTTGGGATGCAATCCTTGAATCTCTGCGGCCTGAACCCATGGGCCCATTTGAGCACCTCTCCAGGGAAAGAGAGCTCTCATGTGGCCCCTAGGGCACCCCAGACCACCTGGGACACTCAATCATGCTGGCCTGGGGCAGTCAGCAGAGCCAGACCACTGCACCACCAAGTCTCAGCTAGAACTGCCCCACATAGGAATAAGCAGGCCCTTTCCTGCCTAGACCACTGTCATCCCTGTAAGTCTTCAGGAAAGGCATTCTCTTGGGTCTGATTCCCAAGGAAGCCAGCTTCTGGAGAAACCACCCCTCTGGCAGAGATTAGTCAAAGCTCCTGAAACCCTTCTTTCCTAAAGGGCTGAGCTCAGTGACACCACACAGCCTGGCTCATGGCCCACGATGCCAGCAGAATGCACTCACCTATGCGCATCAAGAGTCGGGGACCACCTGGGCTGAAGAGCTCACTGAAATACAGAAGACACAAGAGGAGAACAGGGGCTCAGGAAGGACCCAGCAAGGAGCCTACCCCAGGAACAGGAGGCCAACACCAAGCCCACAGAGGGGAGCCTGGGCTGCCTCATGTAGAAATGCAGAGACAGGGTAGAGCTCCCCAAAGATGCTGTTCAGGGCCTGGATTTCCACTCAGTCAAAGCCAGAGCCCTGACAGGGACCTAGAAATCCCAGCATCCTCTTCCAAAATTCTCACCTAGGCTGGGCCTCAGCGTAATCCTATTGAGCATGATTTTTAAGTCATCACCTCTCTTCAGAACAATATAAGGTTGTCATCATTGTTAACCCAGGAGCACCAACCCCTCCCAACCCATGCATGCATCATTGGGTGTAATCCTATTGAGCATGATTTTTAAGTCATCACCTCTCTTCAGAACCATATAAGGTTCTCATCATTGACCCAACCCAGGGCACCACCCCTCCCAACCCATGCAAGCATCCACTGGGACCCAGATGTGCTCACCATAGCTTTGTGCAGGACAGCAGGGCACCAGGAAGGGCCTGAACTTCAGCTCGCCAGTGGCCGTGCACCTGGCTGAGGGACATTGTCCCAGGGACAGTGGGGCCCATGCAATTCTTCCTCGAGGGTCACCATCTGGAGGGGTGGGGGACAGTTGTCCTAACACGGCCTCATCCCTCCATGCAGAAAAGTAGGCAGGGCATGCTAGCTTACAGATGGTCTCCCTCCCTGGACTCAATACATGGGATTCATGTAAAACAGTGACGGTTATGCACGCAAGGAAACCTTGGCCCTCCCTGCCCCTGAACCCTGGAAGGAAAGGGTAGGCGGTCATGGGATTCCAGCAAGACGCCCAGGCTGCACCCTACAGTAGGACCCTGGAGCACCTCCACTGCCCACACCAGCTCCCCCACATGACCTGGCCACACTTGGACCACTGGGCAAGGCCAGGGCCACCAACCAGCTCATGGCAAACCAAAGAGGCTGGACTGGATGCCATGTGCAGCTGCAGAACTGGCAGGCACATAGCCTGCTCCTGGGTGTGGAAGGCACCCGTCCAGGCACCCTCTATAAGCCTACACCAGAAATTGCATCCTGGAGTCCCAGGGCCACGTGCCTTCTCTGGTGGGTCCCCATTCATGCACCACGTACCTCCCAAACACAAAGCCAGGCCACACTCGGCCAATCAAGGGACACATGCTATCTTCTCCTTTCCTCTGGCTCAAGACTCCACCACCCTGTAGGTGACCCCATGTCTCAGAAGCAGCCTGGGCAGCAAATGGCCAGCACAGGTCCCTTGACAGCAGCCCTTCCACCACAGGATGCCACCCTTCCGGCCACTCCACTTTGGGGAGGGGTGACCTCCAATGGGACGCAGGCTGCACCCTTTGGCCCACGATTCCCAGAGCCAACCATCAGGTGTCAGCCAGAGCTCACCCCTGACCCAACCCCAGTGAGGCCGCACCACCCCCACCAGCCTCAAGGAGGCACCAGTGGGATGGCCCATTGCTCAACAAGGTCTGCCCCATTCTGGGCCCAGGGTATGGCCCGACCCTTGAGTCTTCACGGCCTGACTCCATAAGCCCCATCACCCACACCCAACCCCCTGCAAGCCTCGGGGAGGAAGAGCTCCCATATAAGACTCCTGGCCCCAGAGACCCTGTGGATGCCCTCATATGGCCTGGGCAGTCCTCCAGGCCTGACCTGTGCACCAAGTCTCAGCTAAGATCTGCACTGCGTTGGGTTGAAGGAACCCTCTCCTGCCTGAACCTCTGTTACTCCTGCAGGGTTTCAGGGAAGGCATCTTTCTTGGGATTGATTTCCAAGGAAGCCACCCTCCTGGAGAAACTATCTGTCCCTGGTGGGGATTTAGGTCGGCTCCCTGAGGAAACCCTCGTGGCCTGAAGGGTGACCCTCAGTGGACCCCCATGGCCTGGCTCATGGGCCATGACCCCAGCAGGATCCACTTACCTATGCCGCTCAAGGCCAGGGGCCCGCCTGGGCAGAAGAGTTCACTGAAAGACACAGGGGAGAACGGGGGCTCAGGGAGGAGCCACCAACCTGCCCCGGCCCCTGGGAGCCAGAGTGCCAACACCAAGCCCGCATGAGGAGCCTGGGCTGCCACACAGAGGAGCACATAGACAGGGTTGGGCACCCCCAAGGTGCTCTTCAGGGCCTCAAGGACTCCAGCCCAAAATACAGTGGCCCTGCCGGGGGACCTTGGGATCCCAGCATCCTCTTCCAAAATTCTCACCTAGGCTGGGCCTCAGCGTAATCCTATTGAGCATGATTTTTAAGTCATCACCTCTCTTCAGGACAATATAAGGTTCTCATCATTGACCCAACTAGGGCACCACCTCCCCACACATGCATCCAGCGGGACCCGGATGTGCTCACCACAGCTCAGTGCAGGAGACCAAGGCGACAGGAAAGGCCTGAGTTTCAGCGCTCCAGGGGCTGGGCACCGGACTGACGACCACTCGCCCCGGGACAGCGGGCCCAATGAAAGTTTTCCTCTGGTTTCACCATATAGGGGACAGGAGGTGGACCTGTGTCCAAATGGAACCTCACGCCTACACACGGGAAGGGGGCGGGGGATGCCAGCTCACAACTGCTCTCCCACCATGGACCCATGTGATGGGATCCATGTGAAACACTGATGTGTCATGGATGCAGGGGAACCTTGGCCCTCCCCACGACTGAACCCTGGAAGGACAGGGCAGGTGGGTCACTGGACTCGGGCAAGATGCCCTAGCTATGCCCTATTGCAGGCACCTTGAGCACCTCCACTGCCCACGCTAGCTGCCTCTCACAATTCCAGGGCTGTATTGGCCCCTGGGGTGCGGGCCAGGGCCACCTACCCTCTCACAGCCAACCAAGGAGGTTGGCCCAGATGCCATGAACTGCCAATCTGGCAGTGGCATAATCTGCCCCTGTGTGTGGAGGGCGAGAACCCAGGCCCCGCTCCATACCACACAGGAAATCGCAGCCTGGGGCCCCAGGGCCTCGTGTGTTCTCTGGTGGGTCCCCATCCATGGCCACACAACACCTCCCACACACAGAGCGGGGCCACACTCAGTCAATCGGGGGACACCTGGTGTCTTCTCCTTTACTTGGACCCAAGATTCCACCCCCCTAGAGGTGACCCCATGGCTCAGATGCAGCCTGGACCACAAATTTCCAGGACAGGTCCTTCCACAGCAGGTCTCCCCACCTCAGGAGGACAGCCTTCCTGTCACTGCCCACAAGGAAGGGGTGACCCCCAGTGGGACATGGACTGTACCCTTGGCCCAAAGCCCACCAATTCCAGGGCCAGAATGCAGCACCCTCAGGTGCCAGCTAGGGCTAGTCTTGACACAGCCTTAGGGAAACAGTGCTGCCCTACACTTGGCTCAAAGAGGCACCACTGGGATGGCCCATAGCTTAATAGGGTCAGTCCCACTCAGGGCCATGGGTTTGGAGAGATCCTTGCAAATCCGAAGCCCAACCCCATGGACAGAATCGCACACACCTCTCCAAGGTCAGAGGGCCCCTGCAAGACCCCCTTGTCACCCCAGAGCCCTTGTGGCCACCCGCATGTGGCCTGGTCATCCTAGAGGCTTGACCTGAGCCTGAGTCTTAGCGGGGCACTGCCCCACATGGGGCTGAGGAAACCCTTTACTGTCTGGACCACTGCAACCCCTGCAGGGCTTCAGGGAAGGTATCCTCCTTGGGTCTGATTCCCAAGGAAGCCACCCGCCTAGAGAACCCATTCCAAGTGGGGATTCAGGACAGCTCCTGAGAAAACTCTTGTGGCTGAAGGCTGATGCTCAGCAACCCCATGCAGCCTGGCTTATGGGCCATGATCCCAACAGGATCCACTCACCGATGCTGGTCAATGTGGATTCCCACCCCAGCCTGGCTCATGGGGCCATGACCCTAGGGCAGGATCCAGGCATTCACCTGAGGCCCCATCACCATGGAGGTGACTCCACAGTCAAAGCAATGGACAGCAATTTGAGACAGATCTTCCACAGCAGGCTTTCCCACCTCAGGAGGCACCTTCCTGCCACTTGCACAAGGAAGGGTGACCTGATGGACATGGCCATCCCTGTCCCTGCCTCCACCAACCCAGGTGGGATCGTACCACTATCAGATGCTGGCCTGAGTTTAGTTTCGACTGCACTTATAGCAGGTTATTGTAAGACTTAATACTCATGGTGTAATTACTTTGATGGCTACTGTTTACTGAGGGTCAGTCCCATTCACGGCCAAGTGACAAAGATCTCTGAAAATCCAGCCTAAACTCATGGGCCGAATCACACACATTCCTCCAAGGTTTGTAGAGCCTGTGCATGAACCCCTGGTGCCCTGAGCCTCTTGTGTCCCCCTCATGCCTGGCCATCCTAGAGACTAGACCTGAGACTGAGTCTCATGGACACTGCCCTGAATGAGGTGTGTGGAAACCCTTTAATGCCTGGACTACCTACAACCCTGCAGGGCTTCAGGGAATGATCTCCTTGGGAATGATTCCCAGGCAGCTCCTGAGAACCAACCGTGGGCATTCGTAGCCTAAGGAAGCTCCTTTGCAGCTGAAGACTGATGCTCGAAACCCCACAGCCTGGCTCATGGGCCATGGACCGCAGTGGGTGATCCACTACCCATGCCGGCCAATGTAAGGGGGTCTGCTGGGTACAAGAGCTCACTGAAAGACACAGGGGAAATGGGGGCTCAGGAAGGAGCCACTAAAGTGCCCCACCCCTGGGTAACAGCAGCGCTGACACCAAGCCCACATAGTGAGCCTGGGCTGCCTCATGAGGAGCGCAGATAGGCTGGCACCCCAGATGCCCTCAGAGCCTCCAGGTCTCCAGCCCAAAATATAGTGGATTTCACAGCGAACTCATACCCCCAGCATCCTCTTCCAAAATTCTTACACCCAGGCTGGGCCTCAGCGTAATCCTATTGAGCATGATTTTTATGTCATCACCTCTCTTCAGACAATATATCACTCATCACCCAACCCAGGGCACCCTCTCCCATCAATGCATCCAGTGGGACCTGGATGTGCTCACCATAGCCCACTGAGACGAGGGTACTGTAAAGGGCTCCATCTCGTGTACTGGGGCTGGGCACCTGACTGACAGACACTGCCCAGGCCATTAAACCCACACAAGTCTTCCTCAAGGTTCATCTGGGGAAATAGGAATAGGACAGGTGTCCAAACACAACCTCAACTCCTCCATGGAGGCAGAAGGGTGGGGTGTGGCGGCTCAGGATGCCTGCCCTCCATGGACTCCATGTGATGGTTCCATGTGGAACACTTGGCCTGCTTATGCAGGGCACCCTGTGCTCTCTCAGTCACCAGTCCTTGAAAGGACAGGGCAGGCGGGTCACTGGGGTCGGGCAAGAAGCCCCAGCTGTGCCCTACTGCAGAGCCCATGAGCACCCCCACTGCCCATGCTGTTTCCACCGCATGACCCCAGCATCATATCAGTCTAATGGGTACAGACCAGCCACCAAACAGTTCATCGCCAACCAAGGAGGCTGGCCCAGATGACAGATGCCACTGCAATGCTGGCAGTCACATATCCTGCCCCTGTGCACTGTGGGAACCCACCCACGTGCTCCTACTGGGCAGCACACAGAGTCCTGTACATGCCCAGTCCCAGGGCCACATGCTCTCTCTGTGGGTCCTATTCATGCCCACACACCTCTAACACAGAGAGCAGGGCCACTGGCTGGTCTGGGGACACATGGTGACTTCTCATTTCCTTGGGCACAAGATCACTTTACCCAGTGGTGACCCCATGGCCCAGAAGCAGCATGGGCAGCATATTCCAGGGACAGACCTGATAGCAGGCCTTCCAACTCAGGAGGCCACCTCCCTTCCAGACACTTGCCCACAGGAAAGGGAATCTGTTAAGAGAGAACCTCAGTAATACGTGGGCTAATTTTATTTAAACCCTAACGAACGCATGGTCAGACTGCAGCAACACCAGGTGCCAGCCTGAGCTCAGCTTGACTCCAAACCTAGGGAAACAGCACTGCCCTCCAGGCTCAAAGAGGAAGCATGGGTTGGTATTGTCAACATGGCCTCCATCCTATTCAGGGAAGGTCATGGTGATCCTGAATATCTGCAGCTCAACTCCATGGGCTCCTGTAGCCCACCTTCTTCAGAGATACAGAGCTCCCGTGTGACATCACGGGCATCCCTGGAGGCCCTGTGGACTCCCCCTCACACTCAGACCCCACTCGGCCTGGGCCTATGGGGCCATGACTCCCAATAGGATACATTCACCTGAGGCCTTATCACCATGGAGGTCACCCCATAGCCTGTGAGGCAGCCTGGACAGCAAATTTCAGAGACAGGATCTTCCACAGTAGCCCTCCCCACCCCTTACAGAGGACACTCTTCCTGCCACGTACACAAGGAAGCGGGTGACCTGATGGGCATGGGGCTGGCCTCTTTGTTCTTAAGCCTACAAATCCCAGGTGGACTGCACCACCATCAGATGCTGGCCATGAGATAGTCTCGACTCACTCCTGAGGAAACAGTGGCTGACTCCACTTGGCCCACAGAGGCACTCCTGGGAAGTGCTGATTGTTAATAGGACTATCGCATTCAGGCCATGGGTTTGATATCCTTGAAAATCCACAGCCTAATCCTAAGGCCAATCACACACCTCTCCAAGGTCAGAGAGCCTCCACATGAACCTCTGGTGGCCTGAGCCTCAGCCCCCTTCATGTGGCCTGGCCATCCTAGAGACTGACCTGAGGACAGAGTCTCAGCGGGACACTGCCCTGCATGAGGTGGAGGGGAAACTCCTTTAATGCCTGGACCACCACAACCCCCGCAGGCTTCAGGAATGTATCCTCTGACCATCTTGGCGAAGCTGCCTCCTAGAGAACCAATCCCCAGGGTCCAGGAAGGCCTCCGGCAGCAAACTCCTTTCGTGCAGCTGAAGACTGATGCTCGGAAACCCCACAGCCTGGTTTATGTGGCCCAGACTCCAGCAGGATCCATCACTACGCCGGTCAATGCAAGGGGGTCTGCTGGGCAAGTGGCAGAGCTCACTGAAAGACATGGGAAAATAGGCTCAGGAAGGAGCTAACAAAGTGCCTCACCCTAAAACAGCAGCGGCTGGGACACCAAGCCTCCACATAGTGAGCCTGGGCTGCCTGGCGGAGGAGCGCAGAGACAGGCTGGGCACCTCCTAGATGCCTCTGAGCCTCCGCAGGTCTCCAGCCCAAAATATAGTGGATTTCAGAACCTATAATTCTACACTCCCTTCCAAAATTCTCACCTGGCTGGGCCTCAGCGTAACTTCATTGAGTATGATTTATGTCATCACCTCTCTTCAGACAATATAAGGTTCTCCACTACTGACCCAACCCAGGTTCCCTCCCCATCAATGCATCCAGGGACCTGGATGCCTTTCATCATAGCTCAATGCAGGAGATTGAGGGCAGGATTGTAAAGGGCCTTGTCTTCGGTGCACGGGGCTGGGCACCTGGGACTGACAGACACTGGCCCAGGCCATTGGGCCTGGGTCATGCCTTCTCAAGGTTCACAACATCTGGGAAACAGGAGAGAGACAGGTGTCCAAACACAACCTCATCCCTCCATGGAGGCAGAAGGTGGGGTGTGGCGGCTCAGGATGGCCCATGGACTTCCATGTGATGGGTCTCATGTGGAACACTGGTCCGTTGCAGATGAAAATTCTGTGCCTTCTCAGCCAATCCTTGAAAGGACAGGGCATATGGGCTACTTGGGAGCCGGGCAAGAAGCCCCAGCTGTGCCCTACTGCAGAGCCCATGAGCACCTCCACTGCCCATGCCGGCTCCACCGCATGACCCCAGCATCATGCCACTGCCTGGGCAGAATCAGGCTAACAACAGCTCATCGCCACCAAGGAGGCTGGCTCAGATGCCAGATGCCACTGTGCTGGCAGTCACATATCCTGTCCCTGTGCACTGTGGGAACCCACCCATTGCCCTACGAGCAGCACGTACTAGATTCTGTACATGCCTGGGGTCCCAGGGCCACATGCGCTCTCTGGTGGGTCCCTAATTCATGCCCCACACTTCCTAACACAGAGCAGGGCCACACTTGGCCATTCTGGGACATGGTGACTTCATTTCCTTTGGGCACAAGACTCACTAACCTGGGTGACTCCCATGGTTCAGGAAGCAGCATGGGCATCTGTGGATAAGACCCTTGATAGCAGGCTTTCTAACTCAGGGGCCACCTTCCAGACATTGTTCTGCACAGATGGGGTAATCTCCAGCCAAGGAGAGAACCTCAGCAATACGTGGCTGACCCTTGGCCTAAACCTAACGCAGTCCAAGGTCAGAGATCAGCAACACCAGTGCCAGCCTGAGCTCGCTTTGACCCAAACCTAGGAATAGCACCGCTTCCAGGCTCAAAAGACGGCATATCACGGTTGGCATATTGCTCAACATGACCCATCCCATTCAGGGCAATAAGTCAAAGTATCATTGAATATCTGCAGCCTAACCCATGGGCCACTCAGGCCACTGTTCTCCTGTGAGACAGAGAGCTCCTGTGTGACCTCGTGGCATCCCGGGAGTCCCTGTGACCTCATGTGGCCTACAGTCCTCGAGGCTACAGAAGCCACACAAAGACTCAGCTTGAGCTGCCTGTGTGAGACTGGAAGGAACTCCTCTCCTGCTCCGGGACGACTGTCATCCCTACAGTGACTCCAGGGAAGGTGTACTCCTGGGTCTGATCTCAGGATGCTACTTTCCCAGAGGACTAACCCCTTCCATCCCTGGTGGGCATTCAAGTCTGCTCCCCAAGGAAACCCTCCTGTCCTGAAGGACTCCTCAGCGACTCCACGGCCCGACCTGTGGCCCATAACACCAGCACGATCCACTGACCTATGCCGCTCAATGCCAGGGTGCCCTGCCTGCATGGAAGAGCTCACTGAAAGACACAAATGGAGAAGGGGGTCAGAGGAGCTGCCCTCATGCCCCACCTCAGGAAACTGGACCACTAAGAGCAAGCCTGCACAGAGCTTCAGCTCTACGGAGGAGTGCAGAGACAGGGTTGGGCTCCCCAGATGCCTCAGACCTCTCCAGGTTCCAGCCCAAAATACAGGGACCCTGATGGGGACTTCTGGACTTGGCATCTTCCAAAATTCTCACCAGCTGGGCTTCAAGGCACCCTATTGAGCATCATTTTAAAGTCATCACTCCCTCTTCAGGAGCAAGAGGTGTCTCATCATCGACTCTAACCTATATTATCTTCCTTCTGTACAGGTGACCGGTGGGACCCGGATGTAGTCACTACAGCTCAGTGCAGGAGACCAGGTCACTAGGAAGGTCCTAAGCTTCAGTACATCAGGGCCGGGCACTGGCTTTGGGACACTGGCCAAAAGACATTGAGCCTGCAACACAAGTCTTCCTCCGGGCCTACCACCTGAGTGGGACAGGAGGAGGACATGTGTCCAAATCGGGCCTCATGCCTCCATGCAAAGGGGTGAGGTTATCGCATGTGATGGGATCCACGCAGAACGCAGACTCATCGGAAGTGGGGCACCCTTGCAACCATGTTAATTTGAAATCGGGAAGCCTGGAGTCCCAGGGCTACAGGTTTTCTCTGGCGAGTCCCCATCCATGTCCCGCACATGTCCCCAAAACAGAGTCAGCCACCTTCGGCCAACCCTGGGCCATGGTGTCCTCTTCCTTAGGCCCAGACTCCTGCCAATTCTGGGAGGTGACCTCATGGCTCAGAAGAGGCCTGGGTGGCAAATTCCCAGACAGACCACATTGACAGCGGTCTCACCAATGATCCACCTCCGGCCTTCACTACTGACATGCAAAGGTGACTTCAGGAGGATGTGGGCTGCTGATCAAATCTAAAGCTTCTATGTTTCAAGGGGCCAGCGCCTGCAGCATCTTAGGCACAGAGCTCAGTCTTGACTCCAAACCCAGGGAAGTAAATACCTCCCAATTAAGCTCAAAGATGTTTTTTATTGAGATGGCCCATTACTCAACACAGTTTGCTGCATTAGGGCCATGGTTGGGATGCAGTCCTCGAATCTCTGCAGCCTTACTCCACAGGCCTGCACTCCGAGCACCTCTAGGAAAAGAGAGCTCTGTGACCTCTGCACTCCAGAGCCCCGTGGCCCCTCATGTGGCCTGGGCCAGACCTGCACACCAAGTCTCAGCTGGGAGCTGCCCTGCATGGGACTGTGGGGACTCTTTCCTGCCTGGAACACTGTCACCCCTGTGAGGCATCAGGGAAGGCATTGTCTTGGGTCTGATCTCCTACAGCTACAGCCTCTGCAGAAATCCATTCTCCCCAGTGGGATTCATGTTGGCTCCCTGAGGAAACCCTTTCCTAAGGGCTGACCCTCAGTGACACTACGTGGCCTGGCCCATGCCCCATGGATGCCAGCAGGAATGCACTCACCTATGTGCGCTTAATATCAGCATATTCCACCTGGGCTGAAGAGCTCACTGAAATACAGAAGACACAAGAGGAGAACAGGGGGTCAGAAGGACTGCATAAGGAGCTTCACCCAGGGGGAACAGGAGAGCCAAATACTCAAGCTCATGAGGGTTTGGCTGCCTTATAGAAATGCAGAGACAGGTGAGCTCTCAGAGATGCTGTTCAGGCCTGGATTTCTCCAGTCCAAAATACAGAGCCCCTGACAGGGACCTAGAAATCCCAGCATCCTCTTCCAAAATTCTCACCTAGGCTGGGCCTCAGCAATCCGCTGACATGATTTTGGCCATCACCTCTCTTCAGAACAATATAAGGCTGCTACCATTGACTCAACCCAGGCTACCAACCTCAACCCCATGCATGCATCCATTGGGACTAGATGGTCACCAGAGCTCTGTGCAGTGAGACCAGGCACCAGGAAGGGCCAGAGCTTCAGCTTATCAGGGCTGAGCACCTGGCAGGGACACGTGGTCAGGGCCAGCAGGCCTAATGCAATTCTTCCAGGGTCACCATCTGGAGGGGTAGGGATAGGTGTCCAAACAGGGCTTCATGCCCAGGAGAAAGTGGTGGGTGCTAGCTCACATGTTTCCTCCATGGACTCACTAGATGAGATCCATGGAAAACAGTGACGGTCATGCACTCTGAGGAACTTGGCTCCTCTGCCACTGAATCCTGGAAAGAACAGGCAGAGACTTATGGGATTCCAAAGAAGCCCACGCTGCACCCTACTGCAGGACACTGGAGCACCTCCACTGCCCACGCCAGCTCCCCACACAACTCTGGCCTCAATGGGATCACTGGGCAGGGCCAGGGCCACCAACCAGCCTACGGCAAACCAAGAAGGTTGCACAGCCTGACGCCATGTGCCACTGTAGACCTGGCGGGCCTTGAAGCCTGCTCCTGGGCATGGAATGCACACTCATGAAATCTCCATAAACTCACCAGAAACATGATCATGGCCTCTATGGTGGGCCACGTGCCTTCTCTGGTGGGTCCCCATTCATGCACTACACCTCCTCAAACACAGAGCTGCCGCAGCGCCTACAATCAGGGGCCACATAATGTTCTCTCTTTCCTTTGGCTCAAGACTCCCATCACCCTGGAGGTGACTCCCATGACTCAGAAGCAGCTCCATAGCAACGCTGACAGGACCCTTCACAGTGGCCCTTCCACCACAGGATGCCACTCCTCTGGCCACTCCACTATGGGGAGGGGTGAACTCCAATGGGACCCGGGCTGCACTGGCCTGGGGCCCACGATGTCAAGGCCAACCATGAGGTGACAGTCGTATTCAGCCTTGACTCCAACTCCCACTGAGGCTGCGCCACACCCACCAGGCTCAAGGTGCCAACACCGGGATGGCTCTCCACTGCTCCATTGTCACAGGTTTGGTCCATCTGGGCCATAGGTCATTCCTGACCTTACAATGTTCAGGGTCTGACTCCGTAAGCCGGATAAGCCACACACTGTCTCTTCAAGCCTTGGGTATACAGAGAGCTCCTCATATAAGATTCTGACCCCAGAGACTCCTGGAATGCCTCTATGTGGTTTGGGCAGTCCTCCAGGATCAATCTGTACCAAGTCTCACCTAGGATCCGCACTGCACTGGGGTTGAAGTGGAACCTCTCCTGCTTGAACCTCTCTTACTCCTGCAGAGTTTTGGGGGTCCTGGGACTGATTTCCAAGGAAATCTCCCAACTGGAGAAACCATCCTCTGTGGGATTCAGAAGCCAGCTCCTTGAGAAACACTATGATTTGAAGCGTGACACTCAGGGACCCCACCCCGGCCTGGCTCATGGCCAGCGACCGTAGGATCTTATCTGCCTGAGGCCCATCACCAGCGGAGGTGACCTATAGTCAGAAGCAGCCTGACAGCAAATTTCAGAGACAGGATCTTCCTGCTGCGCAGGTCTTCCCACCTGTGTAGAGGACACTCTTCCTGCCACTTGCACACAAGGAAGGGGGTGACCTGATGGACATGGGTTATCCCTTGTCCCTAAGCCCACCAATCCCAGGGCAGGGACTGCACCACCATCAGATGCTGGGCTAGAGCTAGTCCCTGACTCACCCTGAGGAACAGTGCTGCCACCCGCACTTTGGCTCCACAGAGGCACCACCTACTGGGATGGCCGATTACAACAGGGCTGCCCCATTCAGGCGGGTTTGGTGCGATCCTTGAAAAATCTACAGCCCAACCCATGGGCTGAATCACACACACTCTGGCATCAGAGAGCCTGTGCATGAACCTCTTGGTGCCCCAGAGCCCTCGTGTCCCCTCTTCAGTGTGGCCTGGCCATCCTAGAGGCCAGACATGAGGACTTAGCCCCAGCGGTCACTGCCTCTGGCATGAGGTGGAGGAAGCCCTCCATGTCTGGACTACACAACTCCCTGCAGGGCTTCAGGGAAATGATCCTCCTGGGTCTGATTCTCAGGAAGCTGCCCAGAGAACCAATCTCAGGTGGGCATTCAGGAAGGCTCCAAGGAAAACTCTCAGCTGAAGACTGATGCTCGGAAACCCCACAGCCTGGTTATGGGCCATGACCACAGGATCCACCACTGTGGTGCTGGCTGATGCAAGGGGTCTGCTGGGCACAAGAGCCTGTTTCAGACAGGGTGTTGGGGCTCAGGCGCGAGACACCAAAGTGCTCCCACCCTGGGTAACAGCAGCGGCTGACACTAAGCTCATAGTGAGCCTGGCTGCCTCGGCGGAGGAGCACACAGAGACAGGCCAGCACTCCTAGATGCCTCTGAGTCACGCTCCCAGCCTAACATAGGGACTTAAGTAGGGAATTTAGGTGGTACTCCCGAGCATCCCTTCCAAAAATTCCTCACCAAGCTGGGCCTCAGCGCAATCCCCATTGGAGTAAGTGATTTTTATGTCATCACCTCTCTTCAGACAATATAAGGTCTGCTCATCGCATCTGTCCAGGGTACCCCTCCCCATCAATGCATCCAGTGGGACCTGATGCCTGAAAGTACCATAGCTCAATGCAGGAGACGAGGGCATCAGGAAGGGCCCCATCTTCAGTGCACTGGGGCTGGGCAATTTGACTGACAGACGCTCGGCCCGGGGCCATAGAGTCCAATACCAGTCTTCCTCAAGGTTCACACTGGGGAAACAGGAGTAGGACAGGTGTCCAAACACAACCTCATCCCTCCATGGAGGCAGAAGGTGGGGTGTGGTGGCTCAGGGATGTTCGCCCTCCATGGACTCCATGAGGGGTTCCATGTGAACACTGGCCTGTCGCAGATGCAGGGCACCCTGTGCTCTCTCAGCCACCAATCCTTGAAAGGACAGGGCAGGCGGGTCACTGGGGTCGGGCAAGAAGCCCTAGCCAGCCTCCTACTGCAGACCCACAGAGCACTCTTCCACTGCCCATGCCAGCTCCACCGTGATGACTCCCAGCATCATGCCAGGCTCACGGGCACAGACCAGGGCCACCAAACAGCTCACTGCCAACCAAAGAGGCTAGCCCAGATGCCAGATGCCACTGCAAAGCTGGCAGTCACATATCCTGCCCACCTGGGATTGCCTTAGGAGGGCAGCCTGGTGGGAACTCAGACCAAGGAAGATACATTCCTGAAGCCCTGCAGGGTTGTGGTGGTCCAGGCATTAAAGGGCTCTCCACCTCATTCAGGCAGTGTCTCGAGACTGGCCCTCAGGTCTGGCTCCCAGGATAGCCAGGCCACAGCGAAGGAGGACAGGGCCTCTGGGGGCACCAAGAGGTTCTGCACAGGCTCTGACCTTGGAGAGGTGTGGTGATTTGGCCCATGGAGATGGGCTGTAGATTTTCATGATCGCACCCAAACCCATGGCCCTGGAATGGAATCCTGGGACTCCTATTTAGCAATCGGCCATCCCAGTCGTGCCTCTGAGCCAAGTGCGGGTCAGCACCCCACCTCGGTTCGGCTCATGGGCCATGACCCCACAGATACATTCACCTGAGGCCCTACCACCAAGGGAGGTCACCCCAGTCACCAGAGGCAGCCTGGACAGCAAATTCTGAGAGACAGGATCTTCCACAGCAGGCCTTCCCACCTCAGGAGGACACTCTTCCTGCCACTTGCACACAAGGAAGGGGTGACCCCGATGGGACATGGGTTATCCCCTTGTCCCTAAGCCCACCAATCCCAGGGCGGGACTGCACCACCAGCAGATGCTGGCCAGAGGTAGTCTCGACTCACCCTGGAGGAACAGTGCTGACCCGCACTTAGCCTGCCAGAGGCACCACTGGGATGGCCAATTGCTAAACAGGGTCAGTTCCATTCAGGGTCATGGGTTTGAAGTAATCCTTGAAACCTACAGCCCAACCCCATGGGCTGAATCACACACACTCTGGCATTGAGATTTGTTATATCTCTTAGCCCTAGAGCCTGTGTCTCTTCATGTGGTTTGGTTAATTCTAGAGGCCAGACATGAGGACCGAACTCATGGTCACTGCCCTGTGCCAGAGTGTGATGAAACCTTCAAACGTCCTAACTCACTACAACCCTGCAGGGCTTCAGGAATGTATCTCTTGGGTCTGATTCTCAAGGAAGCTGTTCTCCTAGAGAAATCCAATCCCAGGTGGGCATTCAGGAAGGCTCTTGCGAAACCTTGCAGCTAAAGACTGATGCCTGAATCACATGGAAGCCTGGCCTATAATATGACTCCAGCAGGATCCACTCACCTATGCTGGTTTACTGCAAGGGGTCTACAAGAGCTACTGAAAGACAGACAGGGAAATAACAGAAGTTGAGAACACACCAAAGTGCCTCACCCTGCAAGTGGCAGCGCTAACATACCAAGCCCACATAGTGAGCCTCCTATTGCCTCATGGAGGAGTTGAGAGACAGGTTACACTTTCTAGATGCCCTCTAGAGCCTCCAATGTCTCCAGCCCAAAATATAGTGGATTTCACAGGGAACTCATAATCTGCATCCTCTTCAAAATTTCCTTGCCCAGGCTGGCCTCAGCGTAATCCTATTGGAGATGATTTAGCCATCACCTCCTTCAGACAATATAAGGTTCTCATCGATCAACCCAGGGCACCCTCTCCTCAATGCATCCAGGGACCTGATGTGCTCACCATAGCTCAATGCAGGAGACGAGGGTATAGGAAGGGCCTCATCTTTGTGTACTGGGGCTGTAAAATTTTGACTGATAGACACTGGCCTGTGCTACTGGTCCGCACATGTCTTCCTCAGGTTCAACTCTGGGGAAACAGAGAGGACAGGTGGGTTCAAACACAACCTCATCCTCTCCATGGAGGCAGAAGGTGGGTGGTGCTCACGATGCCTGCCTCCATGACCTACATGATGGGGTTCCATGTGCAACACTGGCCTGTTGCAGATGCAGGGCACCCTGTGCTCTCTCAGCCAGTCCCGAGCGACAGCAAAGGTGGTCACTGGCCGGGCAAGAAGCCCCAGCTGTGCTCCTACTGCAGAGCCCATGAGCACTTCCACTGTCATGCCAGCCCACCGCATGACCCAGCATCATGCCAGCCTACTGGGTGCAGACCAGGCGACCAAACAATTCATCGCCAGCACCAAGGGAGGCTGGTCAGATGCCACAGATGCCACTGCAAAGCTGGCAGTCAGCATATCCCGCTCCTGTGCACTGTGGGAACTCTACCCACTTGCCCTATCACAGCACGTACTAGAGTTCTGTACATGCCTGGGGTCCCAGGGCCACATTCTCTGGTGGGTCTTATTCATGCCTCGCCACACATCCTAACACAGAGCAGGCCACTTGGCTATTCGGGGACACATGGAGATTTTCTACTTTGCACAAGGATCACCAACTGGGGTGACCCCATGGCTCAGAAGCAGCATGGGCAGCATATTCCAGGAGCACCTGATAGCAGGCTTTCTAACTCAGGAGGCCACTCCTTCAGACATTTGCCCACAGGAAAGGGGTGAATTTCCAGCCAAGGAGAGAACCTCAGCAATACGTAATGAACTTGGCCTAAATCCCCATCGAGTCCATGGTGGTCAGACTGCAGCAACACCAGGTGCCAGCCTGAGCTCAGCCTTGACCCAAACCTAGGAAATAGCACTGCCCTCCAGGCTCAAAGACGCTTTCACGGTTGGCATATTGCTCAACATGACTCCAACCAGATCCAGGGCAATAAGTCAAAGCATCAATAACAGATTCTGCAGCTCAATCATGGGCCCTAGGCCACCGTTCTCCAGAGATATGAGAGCCTTCTGTGTGACTCCCGTGGCATCCCGGAGTCCCTGGGACTTCTGGCTTACACAGTCCTCGAGGTTGAATGTTGAGCAGCAGATACATTCAGCTTGAGCTGCCTGTGTGAGACTGGAAGGAACCTCTGCCTGGACGACTGTCATCCCTACAGGACTCAGGGCAGGTACTCTGGGTCTCATCTCTCAGGATACTTCTAGAGGATCAACCCTTCCATCCCTGGTGGGCATTCAAGTCTGCTCCTAAGGAAACCTTCTCTATCCTGAAGGCTGACTTCAGGCCACTCCACGCGCCTGACTCAGCCCATAACACCAGCACGATCCACTGACCCATGCCGCCAATGCCAGGGTGCCCTGCCTGGGCATGGAAGAGCTCACCAGCACACAAATGGGGAGAAGCAGGGCTCAGGGAGGAGCGCCTCATGCCCCCACCCCAGGAAACTGATACCAACAGTAAGCCTGCATAGGAGCTTCCGCTGCTCTACGGAGGAGTGCAGAGACAGGGTTGGGCTCCCAGATGCCCTCTTCTTCAGGCCTCCCACCTCTGCAGTGCAGCCCAAAATACAGGGCCCTGATGGGACTTCTGGACTCTGGCATCTTCTTCCAAAATTCCCACCTAGGCTGGGTCATGTAATCTTATTGAGTATCATTTTAAAGCCATCACCCTCTTCAGGACAATATAAGGTTCTCATCATCGACCCAACTCCAGGACACCTCCTTCCTGCACAGGCATCTGGTGGGACCCGGATGTAGTCACCACAGCTCAGTGCAGGAGACCAGGTCACCAAGCATGGTCCCAAGCTTCAGCACATCAGCCAGCACCCTGGCTTTGGGACACTGCGTGACATTGAGCCTAACATGTCTTCTCCGGGCCACTTGAGGTGGCAGAGAGGCTAAACAAATTGGGTTTGGTGTTTCATGGTAAAGGGGTGAGGGCACATGATGGATTCATGAATGAGACTTACTGGTGAAGTGGGGCACCCTTGGCAAACCACACTTGGAATCGGGCTTGAGAGTCCCAGGGCCACAGGCTTTTCACAGTCCCCATCCATGTCCTCATGCACAGGCCTCCAAAACAGAGTTGTGGCTACCTTCTGCCAACTCCTGGGCTACATGGTGTCTCTCTTTCTTAGGCTCAGACCCTGCCACTCCTGGAGGTGACCCTGGCTCAGAAGAGGCCTGGGGTGGCAAATTCCCCAGAAAGGACTACTGACAGCGGGTCTTCCTACCTCAGGATCTGCTCTTCCAGCCACTCACCGATATGCAAAGGTGACTCCAGGAGGTGATGGCTGCAGGTTAATTGAACCAAAGCCCACAAGTTCAAGGGCCATCTGCAGCATCGCCAGGCAGTGGACAGAGCTCAGTCTTGACTCCAAACTCAGGAAGCAGTATACCACCTCCCACCAAGTTTCAAAGAGGCGCCATTGAGATGGCCTCCATTACTCAACACAGTCGGTTATTTAGGCTGCGTGGTTACAGTCCCTTGAATCTCTGCAGCCTTACTCCCACGGGCCCATTCGAGCACCTCTCCAGGGAAAGAGAGCCTCGCACCCTGGGGCACCCCAGAGCCCCGTGGCCCCCCTCATGTGGCCTGGGCCAGACCTACACCAGTTTCTCCATGGGAGCTGCCCCATGGACTGTGGGGGACTCTTTCCTGCCTGGAACACTGTCACCCCCACAGAGGCATCAGGAAGGCATTGTCTTGGTCTGATTCCCCAAGGAAGCCAGCCTCTTGCAGAAACCATCTCTCCCCAGTGGGGATTCATGTTATTCCCCAGGAAACTCCATGGATGACCTCAGTGATACCACGGCCTGCCTGGCGCTCCCATGATACCAGCAGAGTGCACTCACTCATGTGCACTGGCATCAGCAGGCCCACTCCGGGATGAAAAGCTCACTGAATACAGAAGACACAAGAGGAGAACAGGGGCTCAGGAAGGACCTATAAGGAGCCCACCTCAGGAACAGGAGAGCCAACACTAAGCCCACAGAGGAGCCTGGGCTGCCTCATGTAGAAATGCAGAGACAGGCAGAGCTCCCAAGATGCTAAGAAGCCCAGGGCCTGACTTTCTCCAGTCCAAAATACAGAGCCTCTGACAGGGACCTAGAAATCCCAGCATCCTCTTCACCACCAGGCTGGGCCTGTGCATCCTATTGAGCATGATTTAAGCCATCACCTCTTCTGAAATAACAGGTTGCTTACCCATTGATCAACTCCAGGCCACCAACCCTCAACCATGCATGGCCCATTGGGACTCCAGGCTCAACAGAGCCTCAGACCAGGGCACCAGGAAGGGCCAGAGCTTCAGCTTATCAGGCTGAGCACCCAACAGGACACAAGCCAGGGGCCAGCAGGCCTAATGCAATTCTTCCTCCAGGGTCACTTCATCTGAGGTGAGGGAGAACGCAAACAGGGCTTTTAAGTGCCTCCATAGGAGAAAGGGCAGGGGGTGCTAGCTCACATGTTTCTCCATGGACTCACGAGATGAGATCCACAAACAGTGACGGTCATGTACTTGAGGAACTCCTTTGGCCCTCTCTCTGCCGCTAACCTGAAAGAACAGGGCAGATGGATCATGGATTCCAGCAAGAAGCGTAGGCTGCACCCTACTGTGGTGAGACTGAGCACTCCACTGCCACGCCAGCCCCCCACACAACTCTGGGCTCCTCACTGGGATCACTGTGGCTGTGGCCACCAACCAGCCTGCTGCAAACCAAGAAGGCTGGCCTGGACGCCATGCGCCACTGTAAACCTGGCGGTCACATAGCCTGCCCCTGGGCATGGAATGCACACACTACACCCTCCATAAGCCACACCAGAAATACCATCCTGGGGCCTCTGGCCATGTGCCTTCTCTCTGGTGGGTCCCCATTCATGCACCTCACACCTCCCAAACACAGAGCCGGCCACGCTCTGCCAATCAGGGGCCACATAATGTCTCTCTCTCCTTTCTCGTCATGACCTATCAATTGAGGACCTCATGACTCAGCAGCCTTGGCAGCAAATTGCTGGGATGACAGACCCTCTGCGGTGGCTCCTTCCACCACAGGATGCCACCTTCTGGCCACTCCACTATGGGAGGAACTAATGGGACCTGGCCACCTTGGCCTGTGCTCACGGGATGCCCAAGGCTGCTCTATGAGGTGAGAGTTAGCGAGCCCAGCTTGACTCAATCCCTACCGAGGCTGGGTGCCACACCTAATTAGACTCCACAGCCACCACTGATGGCCCACTGCTCCATTGCTCAACAGGGTCGAGTCCATTCGGGGCCATAGGTCATTCCTGACCTCAAATGCTCAGGGTCTGACTTTGCAAGCCGGATAAGCCACACACTGTCCTCTCTTCAGCCTCTTTGGGGACAGAGAGCTCCCATATAAGACTCCGACCTCTAGAGATGCTGGGAATGCCTCATGTGGGTTTGGGCAGTCCAGACTGACTCCGTGCACTAAGTCTCACCTAGGATCCGTACTGCACAAGCTGAAGGAACCCTCCTGCCTGAACTCTCTTACTCCTGCAGAGTTTGGAAGGTGGGCTCTCTTGGGACTGATTTCCATGAAATCTCCCAACTGAGAAACCATCCATTCTGGTGGGATTCAGGTCAGCTCCTTGAGGAAACACTCTGATTTGAAGCGCACACCTGTGGACCCCACCCCGGCCTGGCTCATGGGCCATGACCCCAGTAGGATCCATTCACCTGAGGCCCCATCACCATGGAGGTGACCCCATAGCTCAGAAGCAGCCTGGACAGCAAATTTCTGAGACAGGATCTTCCACAGCAGGCCTTCCCACCTCAGGAGGATACCTTCCTGCCACTTGCACACAAGGAAGGGTGACCCTGATGGGATACGGCTATCCCCTCGGTCCCTAAGCTTCCTCCATCAATCCCAGGGCGGGACTGCACCACCAGCAGATGCTGGCCAGAGCTAGCCCCTGACTTACCCTGAGCAGTGCTGACTCGCACTTGACGCAGAGGCACCACTGGGATGGCCGATTACAACAGGGCCAGTTCATCAGGGCTGCGTGGGTCAGCATCTCGAAAATCTACAGCCCAACCTCATGGCTAGCACCACACACCTCTCCAAGATCAGAGAGAGCCTGCATGAACTCAGCCCCAGAGCCCTCGTGTCCTCCTCTTCATGTGGCCTGGCCATCCTAGGAGACCAGGACCTTGAGGACCAGTCCTGCGTGGATACCTGCCCTGCATGGAGGTGGAGGAAACCTCAATGCCTGACCACTCACAACCTGCAGGGCTTCAGGGAATGTATCCTCCCTTGGGTCTGATTCTCAGGAAGTTGCCCCAGAGAACCAATTCAGGTGGGCATTCAGAAGGCCTCTAAGGAAACTCCTTGCAGCTGAAGACTGGGATGCCTGAAACTCCACAGCCTGGCCTATGGCCATGACCCCAGCAGGATCCACTACCTATGCCGGTCAATGCAAGGGGTCTACAAGAAGCAAGAGCTCATTGAAAGACACAGGGAAAATGGGGGCTCAGGAAGGAGACACCAAGTGCCTCACCCTGCAACAGCAGTGCTGACACTCAAGCCCACATAGTGGCTTGGGCTGCCCCATGGAGGAGCGCGCAGAGACAGGGTTGGCACCCCCAGATGCCCTCAGAGCCTCCAGGTCTCCAGCCCAAAATACAGTGGACCTCACAGGGAACTCATAATTCCCAACATCCTCTTCCAAAATTCTCACCCAAGCTGGGCCCAGCGTGAATCCTATTGAGCATGATTTTTATGTCATCACCTCTTCAGACAATATATATTTCAATGACCCAACCCAGGCACTCTCTCATCAATGCATCCAGTGGGACCTGGATGTGTCGTCACGTTTCCAAATGCAGGAGACGAGGGCACTGGTGGAAGGGCCTCATCTTCAGTGTACCCGCTGGGTACTTGACTGACAGACGCTGCCCGGGGCCAGGGTCCAATACTAAGGCTTCTAACAACATCTGGGGAAACAGGAGTAGACAGGGGTTCAAACACAATCTCATCTCTTCCATGGAGGCAGAAGGTGGGTGTGGTGGCTCAGGGATGTTCGCCCTCCATGGACTCCATGTGAGGTCCTATGTAAATACTGGGCCTTGTTGCAGATGCAGGGGCACTGTGCCTTCTCAGCCACCAATCCTTTGAGGTTGACAGGGCAGGCGGGTCACTGGGGTCGGGTGTTAGCCCAGCTGTGCCCTACTGCAGACCCTATGACACTCCACTGCCTGGCGCAGCCCACCTGACACCCCAGCATCATGCCAGGTCTACTGGGTACAGACCAGGGCCACCAAACAGCCTACTGCCAACCAAAGAGGCTAGCCAGATGCCAGATGCCACTGCAAAGCTGCAGTCACATACCTGAGTTTATTTGGGATTGTTCTCTAGAGGGTATACTTTAGGGAATCAGACTCAAGGAAGATATACATTCTCGAAGCCTCTGCAGGGGGCTGCAGGGCCCAGGCATTGCTGGAGCCCACCCTACAGGTAGGTCTTTATTAGATTCAATAGTCATTTTGAGATAGTTATAGGTTTGTATGAGTGAGAGAGCAGGGTTTGGGCACAGATAGTTTATAGGAGCCTTGACTGGGAGAGGTGGTGGATGGTCATGAACTGGCTGTAGATTTTCAAGGATCGCACCAAACTCATGACCGCTGAACAAATGGACCTGAACTTGGCCTAGTACCCAAGCACCCAGTGGTGCCTTCTGAGCTAAGTGTGGTGGTCTGCACCCACCTCGGCCTGGCCCATGGGCCATGAATCAACAGGATACATTCACCCGAGGCCTCTGCCACTCATGGAGGTCACCCATAGCTCAGAGGCAGCCTGGACAGCACCTCCCTGAGACAGATCTTCCACAGCAGCCTTCCACCTCAGAGACACTCTTCCTGCCACTTGCACACAAGGAAGGGGTGACTCCTGATGGGACATGGGTTATCCCCTTGTCCCTAAGCCCACCATAACCCCAGGGCGGACTGCACCACCAGCAGATGCTGGCTGAGCGAGCCCCTGACTCACTCCTGGATAAACAGTGCTGACTCCACTGGATCACAGAGTCACTGGGATGGCTGGATTGCTAAACAGGGTCAGTTCCATCCTGTGGCCATGGCCTAAAGTGAACCTGAAACTCACAGCCCAACCTCCAGGCTGAATGACACACCTCTCCAAGGTCAGAGAGCCTCCACATGAACCCTCTCGGTGCCCGAGCCTCGTCCCCTGTGTGGCCTGGCCATCCTAGAGGCCAGACATGAGGACCGAAATTTCAGCGGGTCACTGCCCTGCATGAGGTGGAGGAAACCCCTTTAATGCGTGGACCACTACAACCCTGGGCAGGGCTTCAGGAACAACTCCTTTGGGTCTGATTCTCAGGAAGCTGCCCTCCTAGAGAACCAATCCCAGGTGGGCATTCAGGAAGGCTCCTAAGGAAACTCCTTGCAGTCAAAGACTGATGCTCGGAAACCCCAGGCACAGCCTGGCTCATGGCCATGGACCCAGCAGGAATCCACCACCTAAGCCGGCCAATGCAAGGGGGTCTGCTGGGCACAAGAGCTCACTGAAAGACACAGGGGAAAATGGGGACTCAGGAAGGAGACACTGGAAGTGTCTTCACCCTGGGTAAGGCAGTGCTGACACCAAGACCACATAGGAGTCTGGGCTGCCTCATGGAGGAGCGTGAGAGACAGGGTTGGGCACTCTAGATGCCTCAGAGCCTCCAGCTGCCCCAGCCCAAAATATAGTGGATCACAGCGAACTCATAATTCCCATCTTCCAAAATTCTTACCCAGGCTGCCTCCCAGCGTAATCCCATTGAGCATGATTTTATGTCATCACCTCTCTTCAGATAATATAAGGTTCTAATATCGACTCCAACCCAGGGCACCCTCCCGGCATCAATGCATCCAGTGGGACCTGGATGTGCCTACCATTGCTCAATGCAGGAGACGAGGGCATCAGGAAGGGCCCCATCTTCAGTGCACGGGGCTGCACTTGACTGACAGACGCTGCCCGGGGCCACAGGGTCCAGCACACTCAGTCTTCCTCAAGGTTCAACATCTGGGGAAACAGGAGTAGGACAGGTGTCCAAACACAACTCCCCATCCTCCATGGAGGCAGAAGGTGTGTGTGTGGCTCATGATGCTCGCCTCCATGGACCTATGATGGGTTCTATGTGCAACACTGGCCTGGGTTGCAGATGCAGAGCACCCTGGGCTCTTCTCAGTCACCAGTCCTTAAAAGACAGGGCAGGCGGGTCACTGGGGTCGGGCAAGAAGCCCCAGCTGTGCCCTACTGCAGAGCCCATGAGTACCTTCCACTGCCCATGCCGGCTCCACCGCATGACCCCAGCATCAGCGCCAGCCTACTGGTCGCAGACCAGGGCCAACAAACAGTTCATCACAACTGGCGAGCTGGCCTAGATGAGGAGATGCCACTGCAAAAGCTGGCAGTCACATATCCTGCCCCTGTGCACTGTGGGAACCCACCCACGTGCCCTATCACAGCACGTACTAGAGTCCTGTACATGCCTGGGGTCCCAGGGCCACATGCTCTCTCTGTGGGTCCTACTCATGCCCCACACATCCTAACACAGGGCCACTTGGCCATTCGGGACACATGGAGACTTCTCATTTCCTTGGGCACAAGACTCACCACCCCGGGGGTGACTCATGGCTCAGAAGCAGCATGGGCAGCATATCTCCAGGGACAAGACCCTTGATAGCAGGCTTTCTAACTCAGGAGGCCACCCTTCCAGACATTTGCCCACAGGAAAGGGGTGAATTTCCAGCTGAAGAGAGAACCTCAGCAATACGTGGGCTGACCCCTTGGCCTAAACCTAACGAGTCCATGGTCAGACTGCAGCAATGACCAGGTGCCAGCCTGAGCTCAGCCTTGACCCAAACCCAGGGAAATAGCACCGCCCCCTCCAGGCTCAGGCAGACGTGTCACGGGTTGGCATATTGCTCAACATGACCCATCCCATTCAGGGCAATAAGTCATGTGCATCCTTCACATCTGTAGTCAATCATGGGCCTAGGCCACTGTTCCCAGAGAGAGTAGAGCTCCTGTGTGACCTGTAATCCGGGAGGCCCTGTGGACTCCCTCAGCGTGGCCTACAGTCCTCGAGGTCACAGCAGCACATGTGCGACTGCTTGAGCCTGTCAGTGAGACTGAAGTGGAACCTGCCTGACGACTGTCATCCCTTACAGGATCAGGAAGGTGTACTCCATGGGTCTGATTCCTCAGGATGCCACTTTCCTAGAGGATCAACCCTTCCATCCCTGGTGGGCATTCAAGTCTGCTCTCATGAAACCTCCTGTCCTGAAGGCTGACCTCAGTGACCCACGCGTCGACCCGTGGCCCATAACACCAGCACAGACCCACTGACCTATGCCGCTCAATGCCAGGGTGCCCTGCCTGCATGGAAGAGCCTACTGAAAGACACAAATGGGAGAAGCAGGGCTCAGGGAGGAGCTGCTCCTCATGCCTCACCCCAGAAACTGACCACCAGCCAAAGCTCAAGGAGCCTGGGCTGCTCATGGAGAGTGCAGAGACAGGGTTAGCTTCCCCAGATGCCTCTTCAGGCCCTCCAGGTCTCCAGCCTAAAATACAGGGGCCCTGATGGGGACTTCTGGATTCCAGCATCTTCTTCCTGTAATTTCTCACCAGCTGGTATTTCAAGGTAATCTTTATTGATGATCATTCTTAAAAGTATCACCCTCTTCAGGACAATATAACATTCTTACCATCGACCTAACCCAGACACCCTCCTTTTCCTGCACAGGCATCCGGTGGGATCTGATGTAGTCAATGAAGAACAGTGCAGGAGACCAGGTCACTAGGAAGGTCCTAAGCTTCAGCACATTTAGGCTGCACCTATTTGGGATACTGCCAAAAGACATTGAGCCAACACAAGTCTTCCTCCGGCTCATACTCTGAAAGCAGGAGGAGGCCATGTGTCCAAACTGGCCTCATGCCTCCATGCGGTGGGGCAATAGGGTTATCTACGTGATAGGATCCATGCAGAACGAGACTAGTCATGGAATTGGGGCACCCTTGGCAAACTACACTTGAAATCTAAGCCTGAGTCCAGCTACAGGCTTCTTGCAAGTCCCCATACATGTCCCGCACAGGTCCCCAAAACAGAGTCAGGCCACCTTCACAAACTTGGGGCCCCCATGTAGTGGTCTTCTCTCCTAGGTCAGACCTGCCACTCCTGAGGTGAGGACTCCCATGGCCTGTGAAGAGGCCTGGGTGGCAAATTCCCAGGATGTGACCATTGACAGCGGGTCTTCCACTCCCAGGATCCACTCTTCCAGCCACTCTACACCGACATGCAAAGGGTGACCTCCAGGAGGATGTGGGCTGCCGACTTAAACCAAAGCCCACAAGTTCAAGGCCAGCTGCAGCATCGCCAGGTGGACAGAGCTCAGTCTTGACTCCAAACTCCAGGGAAGCAGTACCACCTCCCACCAAGCCCAAAGAGGCGTGCCATTGAGATGGCCCATTACTCAACACAGTCGGTTGCATTTAGGCCATGGCTGGGATGCAGTCTCGAATCTCTGCAGCCTGACCCCATGGGCCCATCTGAGCACCTCTCCAGGGAAAGAGAGCTCATGTGACTCCCCTGGGGCACCCCAGAGCCCCTGTGGCCCTCATGTGGCTCCGGCCAGACTCCGACACAAATGTCCTGTAGAATGGGAGCCGCCCCGCATTGAACTGACGGGACTTCTTTTCTTGCCTCCGACTCACTGCCACCTCATGTGAGGCATCAGGAGCATTGTCTTGGGTCTGATTCCAAGGAAGCCAGCCTCTGCAGAAACCATCTCCCAGTGGGACCTGGCTCCTGAGGAAACTCTTCTTTCCTAAGGGATGACCTCTCAGTGACACCACGTGGCCTGGCTCATACCTATGATGCCAGCAGAATGTACCACACTCATGTGCTAACATTATCACGAAGAGCCCACCTGGGCTGAAGAACCCACTGGAAATACAGAAGACACAAAGAGGAGAACGAGGCCCAGAATGACTTCAGTAAGTGAGCTCTACTTAGGAATAGGAGAGCCAATACTCAGCCTAGCAGAGGGTTTGGGCTGCCTGCAGAAATGCAGAGACAGGGTAGAGCTTCCTAAGATGTTGTCTAGGGTTTGATTTTCCATTCACACAGAGCTCCCTGGGACAGGGACCCAGAAATCCTGGCATCCTCTTCCAAAATTCCTCACCTAGGCTGGGGCCTTGTGCGTAATCCTATTGAGCATGATTTTTAAGTCATCACCTCTTCTTGGTGTCCACATAGCTCTATCATTGACCTAACCCAGGCACCACCCTCCCAACCCATGCAAGCATCCACTGGGACCCAGATGTGCTCACCATAGCTTTGTGCAGGACAGCAGGGCACCAGGAAGGGCCTGAACTTCAGCTCGCCAGTGGCTGCAAGACTGGTTGAGGGATGATTGGGTCTCAGGAAGCAGGGGCCCATGCAATTCTTCCTCGAGGGTCACCATCTGGAGGGGTGGGGGACAGTTGTCCTAACACGGCCCCCATCCCCTCCACATGCAGTAGGCAGGCATGCTAGCCACAGATGGTCTCCTCCATCTGGGTTACATGGGATTCATGGGAACAGTGATGCTTATGTACGCAAGGAAACCTTTGGCCCTCCCTGCCCCTGAACCCTGGAAGGAAAGGGCAGGCGGTCAGTGGATTCAGCAGATGCCGCCCAGCTGCACCTCATGCAGGGACCCTGGAGCACCTCCACTGCCCACACCAGCCTCCCCCACATGACCTGGCTAACACTTTGACCACTGGGCAAGGCCAGGCCACCAACCAGCTCATGGCAACCAAGAGGCTGGACTGGATGCACGTGCAGCTGCAGAACTGGGAGAGGCACAGCAGCTCTGCCTGGGTGTGGAAGGCACCTGTCCAGGCACCTCTATAGTTTTTACCCAGAAATTGCATCCTGAGTCCCAGGCCACGTGCCTCTCTGGTGGGTCTCATCACACCACACCTCCCAACACAGCAGCAAAATGCACTGCACAACTGGAGACACATGCTATCTCTCTCTCTCTCTCTGGCTCAAGACTCTACCACTCCTGCACCACAAGCCCTGGGAAGCAGCCTGGGCAGCAAATGGCCAGCACAGGTCCCTTGACAGCAGCCCTTCCACCACAGGATGCCACTTTCTGCCACCTTCCACTTTGGGAGGCACTTCATCAATGTGACACCCTTTGGCCTAACATCCTGGGAGGCTAACCATCAGGTCAGCCAGAGCTCACCCCCTGACTCCAACCCCAGTGAGGCCGCACCACCCCACCAGCCTCTGAGGCACAGTGAGAACATTGTCAACAAGGTCTGCCTCCGATTCTGGGCCCAGGTGGCCTGATCTTCTTGAGTCTTCACGGCCTGACCTATAAGCCCTATCACCTACACCCAACTCCCCTGCGTGTTTCCGGGAGGAAGATGCTCCTATAAGACTCCTGGTCTCAGAGACTGTGGATGCCTCATATGGTGGCCTGGGGCAGTCCTCCAGGCCTGACCTGTGCACCAAGTCTCAGCTAAGATCTGCAATTGCGCTGGGTTGTGAACCCTCCTGCCTGAACTCTGTTACTTCCTGCAGGGTTTCAGGATGCATCTTTCTTGGGATTGATTTCAAGGGCTACCTTCCTGGGAGAACCATCTTTATCCCTGGTGGGATTGAGCTCGCCCTGGGAGGAAACCCTGGTGTCCCAAGGGTGACCTCAGTGGACCTCGCAGCCTGCCTCCATGGGCCATGACCAGCAGACCCACTTACCTATGCCGCCAAGGCCAGGGCCCGCCTGGGCAGAAGAGTTCACTGAAAGACACAGGGGAGAATGGGGCTCAGGAGAGCTGCCTAACCTGCCTGCCCCTGGGAGCCAGAGGCCACTCAAGCCCATGAGGAGCCTGGGCTGCCAAGCACAGAGGAGCACATAGACAGGGCTGGGCACCCTGGGGTGCCTTTCAGGGCCTCAAGACTCCAGCCTAAAGACAGTGGATGCCTGGCTGGGACCTTGGGATCCTGTTGACCTCTTCCAAAATTCTCACCAGGCTGGGCCTCAGCGTAATCCTATTGAGCATGATTTTAAGTCAATACCTCTTCAGACAATATAAGGTTCTCATCATTGACTCCACCTTAGGGTACCACTTCACACATGTATCCAGCGGGACTCGGGATGTGTCATACCTACAGCTCAGTGCAGGAGATCAGTTGGGCGGATGAGGAAAGGCCTGAGCTTCAGTCACCCAGCTGGGCACCTGATTGACGACCACTCGCCCCGGGACAGTGCTGGGCCCAACGAAAGTTTCCTTTCCTCTGGTTCTGCTCCATCTAGGGACAGGAGGTGGACTCTGTGTCCAAATGTGGAACCTCACGCCACACACGGGAAGGGGGCGGGGATGCCAGCTCACCAGCCCCACCATGGACGAAGGATGGATCCATGTGAAACACTGATGTGTCATGGATGAAAATTGGCCTCCTCACGACTGAACTTTGAAGACAGGTAAATACTGACTCTGGGCAAGATGCTCATTATGTTCTCACAGTAAAATTGAGTACACTTCCACTGCCTACCGCTGCCTCTCACAACCCAGGCTGGCTGGCCTCTCGGGAAGGCCAGCTAATTACCTCTCACAGCCAACCAAGGAGGCTGGGCCTGACAGAACTGCCAATCTGGCAGGCATAATTCGGCTCCCTGTAGTGTGGAGGCTGAGAACTGCACCTCTGCCTGTACTGCTACAGGAAATCGCAGCCTGGGGTCTGCAGGGCCTCGTGCCTCCTGTAATCCCCATCCATGGCCACACAACACTTCCCCACACACAGAGCGGGCCACACTCAGTCAATCAGGGACACTGGTGTCTTCCTACTTGACCTGGAAGATTCTACCCCTTTAGAGGTGACTCGCGGCTCAGATGCAGCCTGGACCAAATTTCAGGATAGTCCTTCCACAGCAGGTCTCCCACCTCAGGAGGACAGCCTTCCTGTCACTGCCCACAAGGAAGGGGTGACTTTCTGCAGGGAAGGATCACCCTTTACCGGGCCCACCAATTCCAGGGCCAGAAATGCAGCACTTCAGGTGCCAGCTAGGCTAGTCTTGATACAGCCTTAGGGAAATAAGGTGCTGTCTCACTGGCTTAAGAGGCACCACTGGGATGGCCTATAGCTTAATAGGGTCAGTCCCACTAGGCGTTGAGTGGGTTTGGAGAGATCTTGCAAATCCAGCTTCAACTCCCATGGACAGAATTGCACATGTACCTTCATAAGGCCAGAGCTCCCTGCAGACCTCTTGTCACCCGTATTCCTGTGGCCACTCGCATGTGGCCTGGTCATCCTAGAGGCTTGACCTGAGCCTGAGTTCTGAAGGGGCACTGCCCTGGCTATGGGGCTGAGGAAACCCTTTACTGTCTGGACTACTGTGCACCAGCTTCAGGGAAGGTATCCTCCTGGTCTGATCTCAAGGAAGCCGACCTGCCCAGAGAACCCATTCCAAGTGGGGATTCAGGACAGCTCCCGAGAAAACTCTTGTGGCCAGCATGATGCTCAGCAACCCCATGCAGCCTGGCTTATGGGCCATGATCCCAACAGGATCACCTACCGATGCTGGTCAATGCTTGTGAGGGCTCTGGGTTGGGCAGAAGAGCTCACTGGTGAGCAGGGAATGGGGCTCAGGAAGAGCCACCAAAGTACTCCTGCCCCAGGTAAGGAGGCGAACACGCCAAGCCCACATAGTGAGCCTGGCTGCCTCACGGAGGAGCAGGAGGCACAGGGCGGGGCACCCTCTAGATGCCCCTGCAGAGCCTCTGCAGTCTCTAGCCCAAAAATACAGTGGACCTCACAGGGAACTCAAATTCTGGCATCCTTCCAAAATTCTCACCAGGCTGGGCTCTCAGCGTAATCCTATTGAGCAGATTTTTAAGTTTCATCACTCTCTTCAGACAATATAAGGTTCTATCATCGACCCAACCCAGGGCACTTCTCCCCACACACGCATCCAGTGGACCCTAATGTGCTCAACAAGTTCAATGCAGGAGATCAGGCCCAGGAGGGCAAGCTTCAGCTCACCAGGGCTGGGCATCCTGCCAGATGGCCACTGGCCTGGGCTAGCAGAAGGCGAATGCAAGTCTTCCTCTGGTCACCATCTGGAGGGACAGGGACAGGACCAAATCTGGCCTCACGCCTCCATGCAAGCAGGGAGGGGCTGGCTCACATGCTCTCCTCCTCCATACCACAAGCGGAGGCATCTATATGAGATAAATGATGGTCATGGACCCGGGAACGCTTGGTCCTCTCCGCTACTGAACCCTTGGCACAAGGTAGGCAGGTCACTGGGCTTGGGTAAGATGCCCAGGCTGTGCCGTACAGCAGGCCCCTCTCTGGAGTACTTCACCGTCTACAGTGGCTCCACTGCATGACTCTCTAGACTACAACAGAAACCCAGGGCAGGGTCCAAGGCTGCCAACCAGCTCACAGTCAACCACAGAGGCTGCTGGTCCGGCCAGGTGTTGCTGCCAACCTGGCAGTCCTATTAAAGCTGCCCCTGTGCGCAGAGAATGGCTGCCCAGGATCCTCCAAGCACACACCAGAAATCGCAGCCTGGGTCCAGGGCCATGTGCTTTGTCTGCTGGGTCCTCATCCACACCTGTGATAATTCGCCAAACACGGAGCTGGGCCACCCAGCCACCTAGAGCCACATGGTAATTTCTCCTTTCTTCCTTAGACTCAAGACCCTGCCACCCCTGGAAGACCCCATGGCTCAGAAGCAGCCTGGGCCACAAATTCCCAGGACAGGTCCTCATGAGGGTGCCTTCCAACCTCGGGATGCGACCCTTCCAGTCACTCACCCCAAAGAAGGTGACTTAGCAGCAGGTGGGCTGCACCCTGACTCCAAAGCCCATGAGTCCCAGGGCCGGCCTGCAGCACCACAAAGCACTCAGCCAGCTCAGCCTTGACCTAACCACAGCCAGCTGAACTGCCACCCACCAGGCTCATGAAGGAGCCACTGGTGTGTCCCATTGCTCAGGGCTGGTTCGTGACAGGCCAAAGGAGGCACGATCCTGAATCCGCAGTCCTCAACCATGCAAATTGACGGCTCACCCATCTGGTGACCCGCCATGCCTCAAGTGATCCCTGTGGCAATTCCCAGAGCCTTGTTGTTCTGTTTATTTGTTCTAAGAAGTATTGAGGGCAGACGGTAAATTGAGGTTAGCTGGAGCTGCCCCTGCAGAGACTGAAGGACCTTTCCAGACTGGACCACTGTCACGCTTTTGGCTTCAGGGAAGGCATCGTATTGGGTCTGATTCTGAGGAAGCTGATTTCCTAGAGGATAACTATCGCATTCACAGGTGATTAAGGTCAACTCCCTGAGGAAACCTCCTGCCTTAAGGCGCTAATACTTGGCACCCATGCAGTCGGCGAGGCCCACACCGCAGCAGGATCCATCACCTTATGCTGTCAATGTGCCAGGGCAGGTCGCCTGGGTAAGAGCTCACAAAAGACACAGGGAGAATGGTGGCTGTGAGGGAGCGTCATACGTGCCTTGCTCCTGGGAACAGGAGGGCTATCACACAGGAGCCAGGACTGCTCACGGAGGAGAACAGAGACAGGGTTGGGCCCTCCAGATGCCCTTCCAGGGCTCGGTGGTCTCCAGCCCAAACATAATGGCTCTGGGCTGTCCTCTCTTCCAAAACCCCCTCACTTCCAGGCTGGGCTTCCCAGCGTAATCCTATTGAGCATGATTTTAAGTCATCACTCTCTGTGACAATATAAGGCCCCTACTATCGACCTAACTCTCCAGGGCACCACCTCCCAGTGCAGGTGACCAGCAGGACCCGGATGTGCCTACCACAGCTCAGTGCAGGACACCAGGTGCCAGAAGTATTCAATGTTCAGTGCACTCCAGGGGCTGACACTCCAGCTGATGGACACTGGCCTGGGGCCACTGGGCCTAATTCAAGTCTTCTCCAGCCTCAACATCTGGGGAAAACAGGAGTAGGACAGTATCCAAACACAACCTCATGCCTCCATGGAGGCAGAAGGTGGGGTGTGGCGGCTCAGGGATACTTGCTTCCATGGACCTATGTGATGGATCCATGCAGACCACTGGCCTGTCTCGGGACACAGGGCACCCAATGCCTTCTCAAACACTGGAACCCTGGAAGGACAGGCAGGTGGTCACTGGGCTTGGGTAAGAAGACCCGGCTGTGTCCTACTACAGGTCCCATGAGCACCTCCACTGCCCATGCCAGCTCCCCGCACGACCCCAGATCACGCCAGAACTACTGGGCACAGATCAGGCCATCAACCAGCTACACAACCAAAGAGGCTGGCCTGGATACCAGGTGCCATCGGTAAAAGCTGGCAGTCACATAGCCTGCCCCTGTGCATTGTGGGCACACACCCAGGTGCCCTATCCCAGCATGAAATGGAAATCGCAACCTGGGGTCCAGGGCCACATTTGCTGCTTTCTCTCTCTGGTGGGTGCCTATCCATGCCCCACGCACCTCCTAACACAGAGCAGGGCCACACTTGGCTAATTGGGGGACACAGGTGACTTCTCCCTTTCTCTCCCTTAGTCCAAGGACCTAACCTGGAGGTGACCTCGTGGCTCAGAAGCAGCATGGCAGCATATTCCAGGGGTAAGACTCCTGACAGCAGGCCTTCCACTCCTCAGGAGGCCACCCTTCCTGACTCTTGCCAACGGGGAAGGGGTGATTTCCAGCCACAGGGAAGGGGAGATTCCTAGCAGGACGTGGACTGGACCCTGGGCCTAAAGCTGACGAGTCCATGGCTGGATTGTAGTACCACCAGGTACTATGAGAGCTCAGCCTTGACCTAAAACCTGGGAAATAGCACTGCCCCAAATTCAGGCCTAAATAGAAGCCATGGGATGGCCTATAGATCAACAGGTTTATCCCATTCAGGGCACAAGTCTCCTTTCTGTGCGATCCTTAAATCTTCATGCAGCTCAACTCCATGGGCCCTATGCCCACCTTTCCAGGGATGTGGGAGCCTTTGTATGACTCCCATTGTGTCCTGAAGCTCCTGTGCCTCCTCATGTGGCCTGGCTGGGTCTCAAGGCCAGATGAGACACTCCGAGATCGGCTGGAGCTGCCCTCTGGCTTGAGACTGGGAAGGAACTCCCTTTCCCTGCCTGGACTAACGTCCCTAAGAGGGTGCGCTGCAGGGCGTATCCTTGGTCCGATCTCCCAAAAAATCAGCCTTCTGGAGGACCTGAACCACCCTTCTGGTGGAATCGGGTCGGTTGCCTGTGAAACCTCCTGTATCCCAAAGGCTGACTTTGGTGACCACATTACTGGGATCGATGATCAAAGACCGAGCAGAGGAACGCACTATGCTGGCATTGTGTTGCCTGGGGCTGCACCGCAGAAGAGCTCACTGAAAGACACATAAGTGAAGTAATAAAGCATGCAACTGGAGCACCATAGCCCAAGCCCACACAGGAGCCTGGGCTGCCTCCCACAGAGGAGCACAGAGGGTACTGGATCCCTATGAGATTCCATTCAGGACCTCAAGGTCTCTAGCCCAAAATATACTGGGCATGACCCTGGGACTCCTTGATCCCAGCATCTTCCAAAAATTCTCACTCAGGCTGGGCCTCAGCGTAATCCATGAGCACATTTTTGTCAATACCTCTTCAGGACAATATAAGGTTCTCACCACTGACCTAACTCAGGGCACTGCGCCTCCAACCTGCTGCCCAAGTGCATTCAGTGGGGCAGACAGCCACCAGCTCAGTGGCAGACCAGGTGCTGGTGGAAGGCCTGGAGCCTTGCTCACCAGGGGCTGAGTAGCTAGCTGAGAGACACTGGGCCAGAGCAGCAGGCCCACGTAAGTCTTCCTCTGTGGGTCACCATCTGAGGTGTGACAGGTCTCAAACAGAGCTTCCATGGCCCTAGTGGTGGAAAGTGTGGGGCTGCATTACACATGCTCTTCCTCCATGGACTCAAGGAGATGAGATCATGTAAAACCATGATGGTCATGAATCAAGGAACCCTTGGCCACTGAACCTTGGAATGACAGGGCAGGCAGATCACAGGGTTGGAGCAAAACACCCAGGCTGCACCCTACTGCAGGACCCTGGAGAACATCCACTGCCCATGCAAAATCCCCTGCTCGACTCTGGGCTGCACCAGGACTCAGCAGGCCCACGCCACCAACCAGCTCACAACAAACCAAGGAGGCTTTACCCTGATGCCAGTGTCACTGCAGACCTGGTAGTTATAATGGCCTGCCCCTGGGCATGAAATGAACCTAACCCAGGCACCTCTATAAGCCTACATTAGAAATTGCATCCCAACGCCTCAGGGCCATGTGTGCCTTCTCTGGTGGGTCCATTCACGACCGGATAAACCCCAACACAGAGCTGGGCCACACTGGCCAATCAGAGGCCATGTGATGTCCTCTCCTTTCCTTCCGCCGGCTCAAGACCACCCTGAGGTGACTTGGCTCAGAAGTAGCCTGGGGCATCAAATTGCTGAACAGGACTTAACAGTGGGCCTTCCACCACAGGATGTTCTTCCAGCTACTCCACTTCAGGGGCATGTGACTTGGCTGGGACTCCAGACAACACTCCTTGCAGCCCTCCAAAGCCCACGATTCCCAGGGCCAACCATGAGGTGCTGGCCAGAGCTCAGCTCCCACCCAAACCCACTGAGGCCACACCGCCCCACCATGCCTGGGCAGGCTCACTGGGATGGCCCATTGCTCCACAGGTCAGTCCCATCAGGCCATGGGTCACCCAACCCTAATTCTTACGGTTTGATTTCATAAGTTTAATTACACTAGTACTTACCTTTACTGTAAGCTCTAGGGACAGAGTTTTGTATAATACTCTAGGTTTGGAGAGACAGTGACTCTACCAGTGGCCTGGAAGTGCCCAGCCTGGAGTGCCAGCCTCAAGTCTCAGGAGCTGCACTACATTGGGCTGAAGGGAACCTTCCTGCCTGACCTCCGTTACTCCCTGCAGGGTTTCAGGAAGGCGTCCTTCTGATCAGTTTCCTAAGGAAGCTGCTCCTCCTGGAGAAACCAGCCATCCCTGGTGGGGATTCAGGTCAGGTCCCGTGTATTTCTGAAGGGTGACCTCTGTGCCATCCTCGTGCCTGGTCATGGCCCGACCTCAGCAAGATCCACTGCACTATGCTGTTTGCTGCCAGCTCACCTGGGCATATTCACTGAAAGACAGAGGAGAACAGGGGCCAGGAAGGAGCTTCCAAATGTGCCCTGGCTCCCCAGGGAACCAGAGTGCCAACACCAAAGTCTGCACAAGAAGCCCGGCTGCCACACAGAGGAGAGTAGACAGGGTTGGGCATCCCGGAGGTGGTCTCTTGGGGTCAAAAGATCGCAGCCCAAAATACAGTGACACTGCCAGGGACCTTGGGATCCCCATCCTTCCATAAAAATTCTCACCTACGCTGGGCCTCAGCGTAATCCTATTGAGCATGATTTTTAAGTCATCACCTCTCTTCAGGACAATATAAGGTTCTCATCATTGACTCCAACTTCAGGGCACCCTCCCACGCATGCATCCAGCGGGACCCGGATGTGCTCACTACAGCTCAGTGCAGGAGACCAGGCACCAGGAAAGGCCTGAGCCCACACCAGGGCCAGGGACCCTGACTGATGACTACCGCCACGGACAGCGGGCCCAATGAAAGTTTTCCCTCTCGTCTCACCATCTGGGGGACAGATGTGTACATGTGTCCAAATGGAACCTCACGCCCACACGGAAGGGGGTGGGGGTGCCAGCTCATGATTGCTCTCCCACCACGGACCTATGGATGGGATCCATGAAAAACACTGACATGTCACATGGACGTGGGGGAACCTTGGCCCTCCCCGCCACCAACCCTGGAAGGACAGGGTAGGCAGGTCAACAGGCAAGACACTCCTGGCTATCTGCAGGCACCTGGAGAACTCTACTGCCCACTCCAGTTGCCTCGATGATCTCAGGGCTGTACTGGCCTCAAAGCAGGCCAGGGCCACTTACCATCTCACAGTCAACCAAGGAGGCTGACTCCGGATGCCATGCACCTCTGCCCATCTGGCATGAGTCTGCCCCTGTGGAGGGCGAGCACCCAGGCCCCACTCCATACCACACCAGAAATTGTGCCTGGGACCCAGGGCCCTGTGTGTCTTCTGACAGCATCCCAACCATATGCCTCATAACACTCCTCCCATACACAGAGCGGGGCCACACTCAGCCACCTGGGAACAAGTGGTGTCTTCTACCTTTCTTGACCCCACCACCCTGTAGGTGGCCCTGTAGCCAGAGGGGCAGCCTGACATCCTTCCACAGCAGGCCTCACCTCAGGAGGACACCTTCCCGCTACTCACTCACAAAGAAGTTGTACACATTCCCCAGTGGATATGGGCTATATGTTTGATCGAAGCTCAGAGTCCTAGGCCAGACTGCAGTACCATCATAGGTCATTTGAGCTAGTCTTGACTCCATCCTCATGGAAACAGCATCACCCACACTTGGCCTAAAGAGCACACACTGGGATGCCCATAGCTTAATAGGGTCACTCATTCAGGCCATGGGTTTAGAGAGATCCTTGAAAATCTGGAAGCCCACCCTGCATGGGCCAATCACACACACACTTCTCCCAAGGTCAGACAGCCCTGCAAGATCTCTTTGGTACTGGAGTTCTTGTATCTCATGTGGCTCCACACATCCAGGCCTGATGTAAGCATCGAGTCTCAGCCATGCTTGCCCTGCATGGGGTTGAGGGTCTTCAGATGCCTGACCATCGCAACCCCTGGGTGGCCAGGGAAGGTAACCCTGGGTCCACCTCCTAAGAAAGCTGCCTTCCTGGAGAACTCCATCCAGGTGGGGATTCACGCAGCTCCTGAAGAAACCCTGTGGCCAAAGGATGACCTTGAGACCACAGAATGAATATTTCATGGGGCCATGACCAGCAGATCACCACCATGCCACAATGCCAGGGCCCAAGGCACAAGATCACCGTTGACATAGGAGATTGGGGGTTTGTGGAGGGAGTTGCTGGGTGCTCACTTTCTTTGGGTGTAATAGGAGAGCATATACTAAGTCATATAGAAAGTTTGGTTGCCTGAGAGTGTAGAGATAGGTTGCACCTAGATGCCTCTCAGAGCTCCAGGTCTGCAAGCTCAAATACAGTGGACCTCAGCAGGAACCTTACAAGGTTTCCCAGCATCCTCTCTCAAAATCTCCTGGGCTGGGCCTCAGTGTAATCCCATTGAGGCGATTTTTATGTCATCACCTCTCTTCAGACAATATAAGGTTCTCTAATACGATCCAAACTCAGGCACCGCCACCACACATGTATCCAGCAGGACCGGATGTGTCACACCAAGCCAATGCAGGAGACCAGGGTCAGGAGAAATGAGCTTCAGCGCAACAGGGGTTGGGTAACTGGTTCATGTACATCAGGTCAGCCAGCGGCACAATGCAAGCCTCCTCTGGGGTCACCATCTGGAGGGATAGGATAGGTTCAAACAGGCTTACTTATTTGGGTGTGAGGTGTAAAGCGGTTTACATGTTTCCTTCCATGAATCGCAAGCGGATGGGATCAGAAGTATGGGAAATAACGACAATCATGGACCCAGGAACCCTTGGCCTCCCCGCCACGAAAACCCCAAAGGAGTAGGCAGGCGAGTCACTGATTCCAGTAAGAAGCCCAAAGGGGCTACAGCAGCCCCTGTGGCACCCTCCACTGCCTATGCTGGTCACCTCCAGCAGCCGACGTACTTCCTGACTACAACAAACCCCTGGGCAGGTCCAAGGTCATCATCCAGCTTACGGCCAACTAAGGAGGCTGGCCTTGAGCAGGCATCGCTGTCGACCTAGCAGTCCTGCCGCTACAGCCTGCCTGCACAGGAGGGGACACCAGCCTCAGGCTCCCTCCAAGCACGCACCAGCACCGCAGCCTGGGGTCAAGCACCAGAAGCTTCTGGTGGGTCCTCGCACACACCTCTGTGACCCCTGTCAAACACAGAGCCAATACACTTGGCCAATCAGGAGCTACATGGTGCCCTCTCCTTTCGTGGGTCAAGACCCCACTATCCTGAGGTGACTCCATGACTCAGAGCAGCCTGGGCCAAGCAAATTCCAGACAGGTCCTCATGAGGGGGCTTTCCAATCTGGGACGCACTCTTCCCACCACTGACTCCTTAAATAGGTGACTCCCTGGGCAGCAGGCGGGGCTGCATCCTTGACTCAGCCCAGAGAGTCCCAGGGTCGGTCTTACAGCACTATAAAGCATGAGCCATGGCTCAGCCTTTGACTCCAACCAGTTGAAGCCGAGCCGCCAACCACCAGTGCCTGAGGAGCCAGCCAAAATGTATTGCTCACAGGGTCAACGACTTAGTGCCAAGAGTGCATGACCTTGAATCTCCACACCCAAGATTCCCATGGCCCACTGCTCACCCTCTTTGGGAAGGAGAGTCCTAATCCCTGTCCCACCCCAGAACCCTCTCATGTCCTGCTCATTTGTCTTGGGCAGTGTCTATGGAAAGACTCATACAATTGGCAACAGCTGAATGTCTGCATGAGACTGAGGAACCTCTTTTCAAGACTGGACTACTGTCACTGCAGGGCTTCAGGGAAGGTATCGTCTTGGTCTGATTCCCAGGAAGCCACCCTGGAGGACAAACCCCATCTTCTCCACAGTGGAAATTCAGGCCGACTCCCTGAGGAAACCCTCCTGCCTGGAAGGCCAATACTTGGTGACCCCACGCAGCCCTTGACTATCACCCACAGCTACCAGGATCCACTCACCAGCTGGTCAATGCCAGGAGTCTGCTGGGCAGAAGAGCCTACCAAGACACAGGGGAGAATGGGGCTCAGGAAAGAGCTACCAAAGCACTGCCTCAGGTAAGGAGGGGCTGGACACCAAGCCTGACATGAGTATCTGGCTGGCTTCTGGAGGAGCACAGAGACAGTGGGTTGGGTGCACTCCTCCAGATGCCTCGCAGATTTCCAGGTCTCTAGCCCAAAAATACAGTGGACCACAGGGGACTCAAGTGTTTCCCAGCATCCTTTCCAAAAATTCTCACCAGCTGGGCCTCAGCGTAATCCTATTGACATGATTTTTGCGTCATCACCCTCTTCAGACAATATGGGTTCTACCATCGACCACAACCTGTAGGCACTTCTCCCCGCTGGCAAAAATCGTGGCAGTGACCTAAAACGGGGGTCACCAGCCTGTTGCAGAGACCAGGTCAGAGGCCTGAGCTTCAGCTCAACAGCGGCTTGGTAACCGGGATGCCACTGGCCTGGCCTGGTGGCACAACACAAGTATTCCTCTGGGGTCACCATCTGGAGGGACAGGGACAGATGTCAGAAACGGGCTTGCCGCCAGCGGGAAAGGAGGAGGGGGGGAAAGCAGCTTCACATGTTTCCTCTCCCATGGACTCAAGGATGGGATCAGGAAATAATATAATATGGACCAGGAACCCTTGGCCCTCTGCCACCAAACCCTCAAAATATCAGAGTGGTGGCAGTAGACTGGGCCGGTGTGATGCCCAGGCTGTGCCAGCAGCCCCCTGCAGCACTTCCACTGCCTATGGTTGCTCCACTAATGACTCTGACAACAAACAGAACCCCTGGGCAGGGTCCAGTCAACCAGCTCACAGCCAACCAAGGAGGCTGGCCTGGATGCCAGGCACTGCCGCTGACCTGCAGTCCCACAGTCACCTAGCACAGAGGACACCACCCAGGCTCCCCTCTCCAAGCACGCACCAGAAATCGTGCAGCCTGGGGTCCAGGGCCACATGCCTTCTCTGCTGGGTCCTCATCCAAGCATCCAGACCTCACAAACACAGAGCTGACCACATTTGGCCAATCAGGCCACACAGCCCTCCTTTCCCTTGGGCCTCAAGACTCCAACAATTCTGAGTGTGACTCATGGCCTAGAAGCAGCCTGGGCAATAAATTCCTGGGACAGGTCCCCTTATGAGGGGGTCCTGAACCTCGGGACGAACCCTTCCACTGACCTCGAAGAAAGGTGACTCCCCAGCAGCAGGCAGGCTGCACCCTTGACCTAAAGCCTAAGATTCCAGGGCTGGCCTGGAGCACCATGAAGCACCAGCCACACGCTCAGCCTTGACTCCAAATCCAGTTGGGGCCAAGCTGCCACCCACTGTAGGTCTCCAGGAGGCGCCACTGGGGTGGCCCACACAACAGGGCTATTCTATCTGTGCCATGAGGTGATCCTTGAATCTCCACAGCCTGACCCCACGGGCCCACCCGCCCACTCCCTCTCTGGGAAGGGACAGACTCATACACCATGTGTCAGCTTGAAGCTGCCTATGAGACAGTGAACCTTTCTGATTGGACCACTGTCACTTGCAGGCTTCAGGAAGGCACGTCTTGGGTCTGATTCCCAGGAAGCTGCCTTCCTAGAGTGACAACCCCATCTCTCCACAGTGAAATTCAGGCCACCTCTGAGGAAACCTCCTGCCTGAAGGCTAATACTGGGTAACCTGACACGCAGCCTCACTCATCACCTAAGGAGTGCCGCCGCAGGATCCAGCTCACCACTTGCTGGTTGATGCCAGGAGTCTGCTGGGCAGAAGAGCCTACTGAAAGACACAGGGGAGAATGGGGCTCAGGAAGGAGCTACTAAAGTACTGCCTCCCAGGTAAGGGGGGAGGGGCTGACACCAAGCCTACATAGTGATGCCTGGGAACATTCATGGAGGAGTGGCAGAGACAGGTTGGGCACTTCAGATAAGCCCCCAGAGCCTCCAGGCCCCCAGCCCAAAATACAGTGGACTCCTACAGGGAACTCCATGTTTCCAGCATCCTCTTCCAAAATTTCACCAGGCTGGGCCTCATGTAATCCTATTGAGCATGATTTTTATGTCATCACCTCTCTTCAGACAATATAAGGTTCTCACCATCGACCTAACCCAGGCACCCTCCCACACAGGCATCCAGCAGGACCAAGATGTACCGCCACCAAGCCTAATGTAGAGACCAGGGCCTAGGAGGCCTGAGCTTTAGCTCAACAGGGCTTGGCAACTGGCCACTGGCCTGGGTCCAGGGCATAACGTAAGTATTCTCTCTGGGGTCACCATCTGAGGTGGACAGGGGAGGATAAGGCCAAACGGGCTTCGCGCTGTGCGTGGGAAAGCGAGGAGGGGGTGCGAGCTTTACATGTTTCTCCTCCATGGACCCATGTGATGGGATCTATATGAAGAATAATGACAGTCATGGACCCAGGGAACTTCGGCCCTCTCTGCCACCAAAACCCCAAAGGATAGAGCAGGTGAGAGACTGGGTTCAGGCAAGATGCCCAGGCTGTGCCAGCAGCCTGCAGCACTCCCACTACCTACGGTGGCTCCACTGCATGACTCACACAACAACAGAACTCCCCTGGGCAGGGTCCAAGGTCACTAACCAGCTCACGGCCAACCAAGGAGGCTGGCCTGGGAGATGCTGGCACTGCGCACACCCAGCAGTCCTAACAGCCTGCCTCTGCACAGGAGCACACTTCCACCAGGCTCCTCTCCAAGCACGCACTCAGAAATTTCCAAAAGAGCCTGGGTCCAGGCCACATGCTTTCTCCTGCTGGGTCCTCACCACATCCCAGACTCCCTGTCAAACACAGATTTGACCACACTGCACAATCAGGAGCTACAGGGAGCCCCTCCTCTTTCCTTGGGCCCAAAACCCTGCCACCTGGAGGTGACCCCATGGCTCAGAAGCAGCCTGGGCAACAAATTCTGGGACAGGTCCCCATGAGGGGGCCTTCAACTCCGGGACGCAACCCTTCCCACCATTGACCTCAAGAAAGGGTGACTCCCCCAGCAGCAGGCGGGCTGCACCTTGACCAAAGCTCCATGATTCCAGGCTGGCCTGAGCACCATGAAGCACTGCCATGGTCAGCCTTGACCCAACCAGTTGGGGCCAAGCTGCCACCCACCAGGCTCCCAGGAGGTGCCAATGGGGTACTTTCATTGCTCATGTGGCTCGCATTCAGGGCCAAAGAGGCAGATCTTGAATTCTGCCACAGCCTGACCCCACGGGCCTAACTGCCCACCTCTCTGGGAAGGGACAGACTCAGCACCACGGCTGGCCAGGCTGTCCAGGTGAGACTAAAGGAACTTTTCCAGATTCTGGACTCACTGTCACCCTGCAGGGCTTCAGGGAAGGACGTCTTGGGTCTGATTCCCAGGAAGCCGCCTTCCTAGAGTGACAAACCTATCACATGGTGGAAATTCAGGCTGGTCCTGAGGAAACTCCTCTCCTGCTCAAAGGCTAATACTTGGTAACTCCCACACGCAGCCTGACTC